GGGAGCCGCCAACCTCCCTATGAAGCAGTCACCATGCTTTGTCTATACCGAGACCACGGGTTCCACCTGCCAGGGAACTCGGCCGCAGATGCAGTGGCCATAGAGCCCCATGGCCAAGGCCACGCGAAGGAAGCTACTCTTCATCAGTTAGGTGTGAGAGAGAGAAGACGGCACTTGACCTTGATGCCCCACCCCTGATGGCTGAATGAAACACAAACCCCAGACTAGAACACCATGGAGGGAGGAGGACAGGGAGGAGAGCCCCGAGAGACTGTGTAGACCACTTGAAACGATGGAGTTGCCCTGAGTTGGCACTTTTCAGGTTTACCATTTTTCTGCCATTATAATAGCCACGGGGGCTGAAGGGCTAGGCTGAGAAATAAAGGATTTTACACAGTTCCTGACCTGAGTCTACGAGTGAGAGGTGAATAAGCCTGTGGTACAAGTGAAGTTCAGAAAGGCCGGCTTACACGGGGAGCGCCCGTCCTCGCAAGGACAGACCTGACTTCCTGCGACTGCTCCGGACCAGCAGGCCAGCGTGACGCCAGCTCGGGACATGATTTGCAAAGAATGATCATGTGTTTGAAAGTGAAAGTCTGAGATGAGCCAAGGTGGAGTCTTAAGTCAAATGGCGTGTTCTGATGGCAGGGTGTGGGGAGTGGGTCCTGCCCGGAGCTTCCTCACACAGCGGGGGAGGTCTGGGGTCCTGGAGCCCTGAGGCCGGCCTTCTGAGCCGAGCGGGGTTGTGAGCAAACACTGCTGTAGGCTAAGCTGGAGAAAATGGGACTGCTTTGAGGACACCAAAGTATTACACACATTTGTCTTTGTCCAGCTTGAATTCAACACAGCACTTATTTATGGACTGGCCCTCCAAAACCATTTTTATTTAAGTTCCAACCTAAACACCATTAAAATTGGGGCCTAAAAACCATTTGAATGGTTCCAACCCATCTAGGAGCAGGCTGGGATCAACCATGATTCTCAATATTTTCAATTTTAAACTGTCCATAATGAACCACTCCTTTCTTCTAAGAAGCTTATGCCACAAACCCCTGATAATACACAGACCCCTTGAAAAAATGGCTGATCATAGCCATACACCGGAAATAAATTTGGGCGTTGTCTGCTTAGTACTAATAGCTGAGGGGAAGTCTTTGGGGTTCCTTGATCAAATCACACTGGAAAAAGTGAATTGTCCTGGGAAACCCACAGTGCTAGAACCCAAAGAGTGTAGATTCAGTGTATGTCTTTGAAGCTATAGAAATTTTAGGTCAGTTTTCTGTATTGTAACCTAATTTACTCGTGCTGTGGCGCTATTATTGTTTGACTGGCATTGGCATCTGAAACTTCCTTGTGGTTAGGAACAAGCCTCTGGAGTCTTATGGCCTTGCTGACATTCTGGACCATTACATTCTAATTGTGTGACCTTGAACAAGTTACTTAATTTCTCTGAGCCTCGTATTCTGAACTGTAAATAGGGGATACTTTCATTTAAAAATTTCTTTTAGATTTTATTTTATTTTTAGAGAGAGGGAAAGGGAAGGAGAAAGAGAGGGAGAGAAATGTTGATGTGCGAGAGAAGCATCCATCAGTTGCCTCTCGCGCACCCCCAACCTGGACCTGCCTGGCAACCCGGGCATGTGCCCTGACCGGGAATCAAACTGGCGACCCTTTGGTTCTCAGGCTGGTGCTTAATCCAATGAGCCACACCAGCCAGGGCAATAGAGAATAATTTCAAAGAAGTAAATCGTGGTGAGAAATTAAATAACGCACGTCAGGCGCATGACGCCTGGTGCCAAACAAATGTTAGCTGTTGCTATTATCGTTATTGTACTTGTTTTGTATGTAGGCAAATCTTGCCTTAAGTAAAATGTACAGGCACACCTTGGAGATATTGCAGGTTTGGTTCCAGTCCAGTGCAACAAAGAAAATATCGCAATATAGTGAGTCATAATCTTTTTTGCTGGTGGAGGGTCTTGCCTTCACTTTGTAAAAAATCCAATGTCCCTGAAGCGCCATGGAGTGAAGCACACCAAAATGAGGTGTGCCTGTGATGATGTATGAAAATCTAAATTTGCATAAAAGGTTGCTGGGAGAGGCTATTTGTATTACAGGTTTTCTTTCAAACAGCTGTCTTCCCAGTGTGTCTAAAATGATTTGATTCACACAAAACGGGTTATACAATGTTTGGGGAACACAGCTATTGCATGAAATAGGGAGGTGAAGTAGAACAGCATTTCTCAACCTTAAACACACTAAACGTATTGTGCAAACTAGATCCATTCTCTGTCTCGGACACCAGGAAGACACGAGGCCAGAGGCAGAGAGAGGTTATTCAGGGTTGGGGACAAAGGAAATGAATTGGAAAAAAATATTGTTCCTCTGGTTGGGAAATACTAGATTAAATGACTTCTAAGATCTCTTCTAATTTGAGGATTCTAACACTCTCAAATTGTTTCACAGATGTTATTTTAACCATATTCCTGGGAGAATTTTCCTATTTTAGTTGAGGAAAACTAGAACGTAACACCTGCAGTGAGTGGTAAAATGGGAAAAGAATTCAGACATCCTGACCCTTTTAGACTTTAGATCCCACAGCCTGTTTTCAACTGGTGAAAATGGAAGTTGGAAGAGCAACCCTGGCCAGGTGGCTTAGTTGGCTGGAAAGCTGTCCCGTACATCAAAAGGTTGTGGGTTCGATCCCCAGTCAGGGCACATACCTAGGTTGCAGGTTTGATCCCCCTTCGGGGGGGATTGTATGTTTCTCTCTCTCTCTTACTTCCTCTCCCTCTCTTAAAAAACCCCTCAGGTGAGGATTTAAAAAATTGGGAAAAACAGAAGATAAAAGAGGTCTGAAACCTAGGACAGATGAAAATCAAGTCAACTTCAGAGATCAGTAAAAAATCCGCTCACTTGAGGTTCCACATTACCAACGTTAAAGACGTAGTATATATACCGGCCTCCCTGGGGAGCCACTTCAGAGTGCTGTGAGCGTGCAAAGACCGAACCGAGACCAAACACGTGCAGCCGTGCCCTGTGCAGTGGGGCTCCGAGAAGACAGATCTTTGTCCCCGTTAGCCTGGTTGTTTTTCAGAGAAGTTGATCGTCTGGCCTTCAGATCAGTGGGTTTACTTGGTCATATGTGACCAGATTACATTGCTGTTTCCACACCCAAGTCTTCTATGCCACAAAGACTTCCCTTCCCGTGGACTTGAGCTGGCAGGACAAGTGCACCTGCCTAGAAAGAAGGTGAAAAGCCGATCACAGAGGGCAGAACCACCTTGTGATACAGATTTTATTGCTTATCTAGGAAGAGGAGAAATTGGACACTAACGGGAAAGGAGGGAAATCTCTTGGGCTGGCCCCAGAACCTGCTGCTGGTGAAAGAACCAGAGACCCTGTGCAAAGGGCGATTGTCAGCCAGGAAAAACAGGAAGCTGCCCGGAATCGTCCTCAGTCATTTTAAGAAGAAGGAAGAAAACAGAGAATGGGGGTAAGGAAGAAAACACTCAAGTCATGCAAACTTTGGAAGTGTCCAGAGGGGATCTTTACTTTGCCTATGAATCTTAGAATGAAGAAGAACGAGCACCGTATTTGAAGAAATGGCACAAAGGTCAGCACCACTGTGGCCTCCAGTGCCCCCTAACCTGACATTCCTCTGCACTGAGCAGCCTGTTTGACCCCTGCTAGGAGAGCAGAGAGAGGTGAGTAGTGAAGCTGCCCCAGATTCTGTGCTCCAGGTGGAGAAGGCCTCGAGAAGGTGAAGGGATGAGCTAATCTGAGCATCATGGCCCCATTTCCAAGGCTGTGATTAGTGGAGAGGCACACGGGACCTGCTCCATTTCAGGAAACCCGGTTACGGGAAGTGAAAGTGGTGGGGCGCAGACTTTGCTGGGGACCTGAGAGAGGCAGTTAACCCTTTCCTACTGCCTGCGTGGGAAACAGCCTCTTTGAATAGTCTCCCGGGGAGAGGGGGAAGAAACTCCTCAAATGGACTTTGTTTTGCTCCAACTTCATAGGGGCGCCTCAGAAATATTTTTCTTCTGAGTTCCTGGGGCCAGTCTCTTCAGGGCCTTTGAATGCTCAGGGAGAACAGGGTAAGACCAAAGAAGCGTCTAGGAACAGCATGCAGAAGGGGCACGTTCAGAAGGGGAAGTCAGCTCACCAGTTCCTAAAACGTCACTCTTGACCTGACTGCACTCCCCAGGACGTTCTGGTTCCACTCAAACCCTGGGGCTCGGGTCAGGGCTCTACGGTGGGGTCTCCTCTGGCCAGATAGGGGATTTCTTCTCAGAATAAACAGGTTGTCCAAAGTGGACGTGAAACAGTAATCCAAATCCCAAGGGGAGTGAAGGGCTGCAAGCAGAATCAGCACATCACTGGGTCGAAGGACTGGGGAGAGCTGGCCTCACAAAGGCACTGCTAAAACCCTGAACACCAGGGCCGAAGATATGCAGAGAAGCATCCCAAAGCCTCCTTGGTTGACCTGGTTGACTAAGGTGACCTTCACCTTGGGCAGATCATTTAACTTTTTTGGCCTTCTAATTTCTTCATCTATTAAAGATAATCGATAACTTCTATAGTTCCTTCTGGCTCTAATGTCCCATTGCTCTGAAGATGAGGTCTGAGTAAAAAATTTTAATAGTGTGGAATCAGTCCGATAGTGTGTTAGATACTAGTCCACACACAGGTTGGGGGAAAACGCTGCTGGGTGAGAGAAGGGCTCCTTCAAGTTTTAGTTTGTGGGAGATGAGGGCATCTGAGTTCATTGGCTCCTTAGCTTTTGCACGGGGCAGGGGCTGCTTCTCCTAGCAGTACTCCTGTTCCCAGACTCTAGAAGTTTGAGACAAGCCGTTAGGCAGGTCACATCCGGGAGGGAGATGCACTGCGTAGCTGTGGGGGAGCCCAAAGAGGAGTTAAGAGATTTCTGTTTCAGGTTTTGGCTCTGCCATTTATAAACTCAGTGTGATACAACCTTTTCTTGGAACCTCATCGTCATCATGCATAAAATGGCAACACCACCTCCTGTACAAGGTTGGGAAGGTTACTTAAGATAAATAAGAAGTGAAGACCCGTTAGCATGGAGTAGACGCCCACGAAATGCCCAGCCTGTGCCAAACCTTGCCTGACTACAGGGGCCTGTGCTGTGGACGCCTTGACGGCAGGTGCTGGTACCAGAGGCTCCCTACTTCCATTCGGCCTACATCTGGGGGGAGGGGTGGGGAGCCGTGTCCCTGGCTTCTTCTGTTAGGCTTCCCCGCCTCTAGGATGGTATGTGTGTTCCACTGCACGTTCACCCCCAAGGCTTGCTCCCAGGCTCGCTCCAAGGACAAGGGCTGGAAGCCAGATGACCAACTTACCTGAAATACTTTGACACTGGCAACTGTTCTCCACCCTTTGTTCCCCATGCCTTTCTCAAGGTGGGGCATTTTCTGTTGCGCCATGGGAAATATTTTAAAGAGTCATCCTCATCACCTTGGTTTCTCACACATCAAATAATGATAAGTTATCTCTCATTAGATATTTCGAGAGTTAAACATTTATATAAAGAGCCAGTCTGATAACAGGAAATCCTTCAATAAATGTTAGCTGCCTTCCCTTTGACAACTCCCCTTCCTAAAGGGGACAATTGAGAAAGAAGGGCGAGAAAGGATCCAATGATTCCCCAAATGCCAGCTCATCAAAGCTGAGACGTATTATGATGAATTTTGTAGAAATAAAAGCCACCTTTCTCCAACAGGTTTACCTGTGAGCAACTGAGCTGAGGGGAGTGATCAACAGCGCTGAGCTCAGACTCTAAAAAGCTACGATGCGGGTCTCAGTAGACTTGTTCTTTGAAGTAGCACCAAGGTTGTGCGCCGGGCAGGCACTCTGCCAGCTCCCCCTGCCTGCTCTGTCCAATCCTGGCTGCTCGGAGCTGCGGTGAAAGAATTTTCCCTGAAGGAAAGCAGCCAACACCCCGTCCCACCCTTCTCCTTGGGCAACTCTCTGCCAGGCAGGAATCTCTCACCAGTTTTCTTCTGGCTTCCAGATCATCCATTTAAATGGGCTCACCGACGTCCCCCACCCGCCCCTGGCCACGCCCCTCCTTGAACTTGCAAGGAACCCTGCAGCTGGAGTCTGGAGGACTACCGTCCTTTCAGCGGGGAACACGCTGGGTAAACCCTAGCCTTTCTCCTGCCAGTGGAGCCCAGGAAAGCCCGGTCCTGCCCTGGGTATATTTAGCGGAGTCGAACGTGGGGAGGGGCCTATTCCCCTAGGGGCGAGGGTCCAGGTTCCAGCTCCTGCCTGGGCACCTTGGAATTAGGCTTGGGGACATGCTGGGGACAAATTGTCAGTGGAAATACAGGATGCCCGGTTTTGAATTCCAAATGAACAAATAACTTTTTAAATCTAAGTTTGTCCCAAATACTGCACGAGATATACATATGCTTAAGGGTTTTTTTTTTTTTTTTGCTTTAAAATTTTTAATTCAAATCCAACGGTCTGTCCTTCACTTTTATTTGCTAAATCTGGGACCCAGAGGTAGGTCTGGGGCATTGAAGCAGTCCCCGCAGAAGGTGAGGCTGCTTGGGGGGTCAAGAACCGGCTCGGAGTCCCCCGCCAGCCGCTTCTCCGGGGCTGAGGGCTGCACCTCGGCGGGACCGTGGGAAAGTCTCTTTCGAGAGGAGGGAGGTGTCGTGGCCTGGCCTCATTCCTGCTCGCCTCCAGTCTCGCTCGCCGCCCGCGGGCTTTCCCTAGCCGGGCGGCTCGCCCACCTGCCCGCCCACGCGCCGCGGCTGCTCTGTGCAGTTGCCGCTGGCTCCTCCAGGCCCGGGTGGCTCACAGCCTGGGCAGGGGCGGGGGGCGGTGCGGCGTCTAGTGCGCAGGCGCCACGGTCCGGGGGCGGGTTCGCACGTGGTGCGGCCGCGCGTGGGCGCGGGCGGAGTTCGAAGCCCAGGCTGGCACCCGGAGGCCGAGGGTCGGTGCCGATCCTAGGGCAGGATGGAGGGGTCGGCCGTGGCCGTGGCCGTGGCCGTGTGCGAGGTGATGCGGGAAGGGGAGAGAAAGGAGGACAGTGTGTGAGGAGGAGTCGGGCTCTGTGAGGAGACCGCCAAGTGTGGGCGGAGGGGTCTGGCGCTGCCTGAGGTGGCAAAGGAAGGTTCGGGGAGGACGTGATTCGGGGCCGCTCGGCCGGCGGCCCACGGCGCTGTGAGGAGCGCACGAGCCGCCGGGCGTGGGAGCGCGTGGGCCGCGAGGCCGGGCCACGCGGAAGGACTCTCGCTCCGCCGAGGGCGCGGCCCGGAGCCGCCGGCCGCAAGGGCGCTGGCGCCGCCCCCACCCTCCGCTGGGGAAACCGAGGTCCCGGAAGTGGCGGTGCGGGCCCCGCGTTGGCGGACCCGGGTCCGAGCCGGAGTGCCGGGCGCGGGGCCCCCTCCCAGGCCGGGAGGGCGGCGATCGAAGGGAGGCGCAGCCCCGGGGTGGGGCGCAGCGGCCCGTTCCGGGCGGGGCGGGAGGGCGGGAAAGTGGGCGCAGGCCCTCGCGCCGAGGCCGGTGTGCGGCGGCTCCCCAGGTCCCGCCTGGGCCGCACCGCGCTCCCACCGCCCGGCGGGCCGGGGGTCGGTCCTTGCTCTGGACGGCGGGGCTGAGCACCGGGCACGCAGGCGCCGCAGTGGTTCGCGCTTTCCAGCACGTTCACAGCCGTTACCTGCTAGACTCAGCCCCCGGCGGGGGACACTGAGACGGGTGGAATAGAAGCGCGGGTCACGCGGGGCTGATGTGAACGCGCTGAGTTCTTCCGCTGCCTCGGTCGTCATCCGGGAAAGTCGGAGGATTAGCGTTCTCAGAACCCGGGATAGAACCCCGGGCCCGTGTTGGATTCCCAACTGCTCTCTCACTACGGACGAGGCAACTGCGGGAAAATGCTACCAGAGGGAGCACGGGGAGTCAGAGGACGTGTGAAGGGAAGTGGTAACTGCAGACCTGCCGGGAAACTGCCTTTATAAACTCTGGTGCAGACGAGGACGTTGGTTCTGGCGTTCTCTCACTGAGATCTCCCTGCCTTTAAAAACACCGGGGGTGACCATTTTCCCCATGGTACCTTAGTGTGGAAGTGAGAGTCTACTTTCATAAATAATAATGAAATTAAATACAGTATATTTTATTTCTAATCTGTATCATCAAGATGGAATGTTTTAACCAGACATCTTGGGGGTCTGTTCGACTTGAAATTCTGTGTTCAATCTTTACTGCAGATGACCTTATTAGGAATAATAGATAACATTTATTGAGCGTTTACTATATTCCAGGCACTGTATCAAGTATTTTGCACGATCAGCAGCAGCCATATGTGGTAGATTTGTTCTCATTTTTATGAATGAGGAAGCTGAGGTTCAGACAAGTGACGTGCCCACGGTCACGTGCTAGAATTAGGGGCATCAGGATTCAAAAACAGGCATCTGACTCCAGAGCCGGTGCTCTTAACTGGTATTCTGACCCTCAGAAATGTCGATTTGATGAGAGTTAAAGATGATTCATAACGTAATGTTGGCTTTTATATGGGAAGAAAAAAGGAAACAGGAAAAACAAACTCCCACTTAATTTTTTCAAATTATTATTTCCAGATGACTTATCCTTTGCATAAAGCAACTTAATGTCCCATTTTCTGTCTTGTTGGGCATTGTGTTGAACTTCATTGTCTCCTTTCTTATGTCACCTTGTCACCTCCCTAAATTGTTTCTTCTGTTTAGACACAATGCTTTGCTTTGAACAAATGTAAATCTGACACATTATACGCAAGAATATTATTTTTAAAATCAGAATTATTAACTGTATCATACAAATTTATGACCAAGCTTTCTAAAGATTCCCCTTTTTTTGAATTGTGCCCTTTTCAGATTTTGAAATACTTAATAATTCACTGGAAGTGTGAAACAGCAGAAGGAGCGTTGCTAGAAGGACAGCTAGTGATTTCCATAGAAGCATCAAATTCTAAGCACCAGGCAGATACTCTTCATTGTGTAACAACTAGTAAGTGGAGGAAGAAAAAGATGTTGATTTTCTATCTTTGTCATCATTTATGTTACAGTTTATTTTAAAAAATCAATTAGTCATCTTTTATCATGTTATCACTTCAGGGTTGCTCTATAGTTAAAAAACTTAAATGATTATGTAATAAGTATCTGATGATAGATTTACAAATGTGCTATTCAGGAAAGGTGAGTGGACTGACTCTTGTCACAGGATTATTTATTCTACTGACTCAAGGTAAAATTACTCAGAAACAATCTCACTCTTGCTTTTGCATTTAACCTCTTCTTTCACAGCAAAATTTTATTACATTGAATTTTACCTCCTTTTTCTCTCATGTCTACCCTTTGGTGCTTGGAAAAGAGCCAAAAAATAAAGGAAAACGAAAAGGTAAAATTAATAGTGTATACTTTAATAATCATAACTTGCAGTTAGTTTGAAAATACACATGTCTTCCACTTGGCACTTACTCTTTTGTCTTTTTTGCCTGAACTTTTGAGAGAAGCTGATGCATTGAGCTGATGCATTAAGGAGGAAAGGTGATACATGCTTTTCATAAAGCATTGCAACATTACAGAAATATATATTATGGAAGGTGAGACTTTCCAGTAATCTCACCCCTTATGATAATTATTAAATAACATTAAATATATATCCTTCTAGATTTAAAAAAATTCATAAAGTCATTGTCTCACCGGGTTGATAGAAAGCCATATTGCCAGCATTCTGGGATTAAGGGGTAAGAGTGGTGTTGGATATCCCAGCATTCAGTGTTTACATTCTCTCAGTCCATTTGTTTTTAGTGCAGCTTTGGTTCTCGTCTCAGTCCAGAGACCCATGTTCTACCTGGTTAAGGAATAACCAGGTAGAGAACCAGGGGACTGGCCCTCCCTCACCCCACCCCCACCAAGGTTAGGGAGGGCCAGCCCCCAGAATGCTTAATGGAGGAGGGGGTCTAAAGTAAAATGAATTTACGTCCTAAATTAATTTTTTTATTTGACTCTTCTTATTTTAGCTCCTACCCCAACCCTACTTCCAGAAGTTTCTAATATTGCCATTCCTGAGTCTTTGGGGATTTTGTTGTATACTTTGAGTTGTTTTTTGGCCTTCTCATTTTTTGGCTTATAATTCAGCATGTCGGGTTTCCTAAATCTTTTCCCACTAGTTCTGCTTTTCAGTTTCTAGAATTTTATTGTAATTGTCTTTGTGTCTTATTCTCTATCCTTGTAGTTTATTCCCTTAAAAAAATTCCATTTCTATTGCTTCATTCAGGATTCAGGAGGAAGTAAAAGAGATTATGTATGTTCAATCTGCCATCTTTACTTGAAAGTGGGGTGTGGTGTCTGTGATCTGACATGGTGCCTGTGGTCTGTCAAGAAACAAAATATCTTGAAGCAAAATAAATTTATTTTCTCACAGTTAGGGAGGCCAGAAGTCCAAAATTAAGGTATCAGTAGATTTGGTTGGGAGAAATCTATTTCATGGCTCTCTCCTAACTTCCCGCAGGCCCTTGGCATTTCTTGGCGTGTAGACGTGTCACTCTAGTCTCTGCCTCTGTCTTCGTGTGACCTTCTCCCCTGTTCTAATCTGTGTCTGTGTCTCCACGTGGCCTTCTTATGAAGGATACCACTTGGATTTAGGGTCACCCTAATCCGGTCCAACCTCATCTTAACTTGATGACATCCACAAAGACCCTGTTTCCAAATAAGGTAATAAGTACAGGCCCCTGTTTCCTAAGTACAGGGGCTTAGCTCTTCAAAATCTCTTTTGGAGGCACAACATTCAACACACAACAAACCAGCAAATTTTACTGCTGGAATGATTCATCCTGAGAAGCTGAGAGATGACTGTATGGTTCTTTCCATCAGTAATCGTTGACGGCTTTAACAAGTACTGCTTGTTGCAGTGTTTCTCATAATGTGCACTCTAGGATGTTTTTATGACTTAACGAGAAAGGAGTTATGTAGTCATTTAAATTTGGAGAATGCTGGTTAAAATCAAAGAGTTTCACTATTTTATTACTTTTTTCTATTACAGTTTACATTCAACATTATCTTGTATTAGTTTCAGGTGTACAGTGTAGGGGCTAGACAATCATATAGTTGACAAAGTGGAATCTAAAGTTTCATTACTTTAGATCTTCTTTGAACCTGTACTGTGAACCTGTACTGGTTCTTTGAACCAGCATGGACTGTGAATTGTTCCAAATGGGCTGTGTATGACACTTCCCAAACGTATGTGACCACATAGCTCTTAAAAAAATTTTTTTTAAAGATCATCTTCTGTTCTATAGAGGAAATTTTGGGGAATGCTCTTGTCTTAAGAATGTGTTCCACAAACTGGTCTCTGCTGTCATCTTTGCATTTGAAGGACAGCACTGCAGCACAGAGACCACGAGCATAGCGGAAAACTGGGGGCCGGTGGGGTGTAGAATGACTGCTTTCTTTGAGCACGTACACCGAAAGTGACCCATTTCCAACAGCTGTTGAGATGATAGTTGTTCAGACTAAGAAAAGGTATTAGAAAGAACAGTGCGACATGCAGGTGAGAAATATCATGGACCACTGCAAGACATACAGGTTTTCGTCTTGTTAATGTTCTAGTTCCTGACTGGTCACTAATACAGGCCTGCTGCCACCTTCTATCCCTTTCCCAATGATCCACTCTCCTTTGAGTTCGGACCAGGGTGTCCCTGTAAGGAACACTAAGAAAAAAAAGATGATTGCCTTACCTTGGCTGGTGTGACTCAGTGGATTGAATGCTGGCCTGAAAACACAAGGGTGGCCAGTTTGAGTCCCAGTTGGGGCACGCGGGTTGTGGGCCAGCTCCCCAGTAGGGGGTGTGATGTATCTCTCACACAATGTTTCTCTCTTTCTTTCTCCTGCTCTTCTCTCTAAAAATAAATAAAATCTTTTTTAAAAAGACGATTGTCTTTTATTAAATGTTCTATACTACTTGAATTCATACCTTTTGAAGCGTGTACCATTTATCTAGATTGTTCAAAATCTGGAAATTTAGGGCATTGCTTATCCAATAGAACTTTTTGTGATGATGAAAATATTTTACCTCTGTGCTATTCAGTACAGAGCCGTTAGCCACACCTGGCTACTGGGCACTCAAAATGTGGCCAGCTAGTGTGACTGAGGAACTGACGTTTTCATTTCATTTCATTTCATTTTCATTTAATTTAATTTAATGAATTTCATTTCATTTCATTTCATTTAATGCATAGTAAGTGGCTACTCCATTGGGCGGCACACCTTTAGAGTATGCGGTTGCCTCTCACGCTAGTCCAGTGATTCTGGACCTTTTTCCTGCTTGGAGGGTACACATTTCTTGAGGGATAGACATATTTTTATTGGTTCCTGTGTCAGGGATTCTTAGATTCTCAACTATCAAGTCACATTCCTCCTGGGGAGGGATATTCAATTTGAAAAAAAGCCTTCATGTGGTTCTTATCTTTTTTCCTTCTTAGATTCATACTTCATCCCTCACCCTCTTTCCATGAAGAATTATTACTCCAAATGTTCAGATTTAGAACTCTAGGTACAGAGAATTCTTAACTGATTTAGTATTTTCTACTAAAGGGTAGATTGGTTAAAAGAGGGGCCAAAAATTTTAACTGAATCTTATACTGGAATATGGGTTATTGGCATGATATTCTTTGGTTATTAGCTACAGTTTGCAGTCTTCCTATAATCCTCCTTTACTAGGAGTAGTAATATTCAAAGAGGCAGTCCTGGTATTGAATGTAGCTGAAAAGACTTGCTATTTAGACTTGCCATCCCCAAGAAGTTACTCTACCCCCAAATAGTTATGCTAGCTTCATAATTTTTCTTTGCTCCTCCAATTTTGACTGAACTTCATTAGTAGTTGTCATCTTTTTTTTTTAAAGATTTTATTTATTTGGCCCTAGCTGGTGTGGCTCACTGTATTGAGTGCTGGCTTGTAAACCAAAGGGTTATGGGTTCCATTTCCAGTCATATCACATGCCTGAGTTGCCAGCCAGATTCCCAGTAGAGGATGCAAGACAGGCAACCACCTGTCTGATTGAGAAACATTGATCAGTTGCCTCTCGTACAACCGCAACCAGGTACCTGGCCTGCAATCCAGGCCTGTGCCATGACCAGAATTGAACTGGTGACCACAGTTTGTGGAACAACACCCAACCCACTGAACCGCACTAGTCAGGGCTGTAGTGCTCACCTTTTTTATGTCATGTCTGTAAGCAGTGTTTTCAGGCTCCCATTTGATTCTTTAGATAAAATCAGTTTAATTGTTTTATTTGTGATATTTTACTTATTTACTTATTTATTTTTACAGTTACTTCTGCAGGAAGCATTTTTGGTGGTTTGGTCTGCAAGACATTTCTAAAAGGTAAAAAATTACCCAATTTCCATGAGACTAAATCTCTTCCTGGTAATGAATTTGGTATTTTCTAAAACAGACTTAATACTGAAAGCTAGGGTTGCCAGATTTAACAAATAAAAATACAGAATGCTCACTTAAATTTGAACTTCAGATACATAGTGAATAATTGTTTTAGTATGTTCCATTCAGTATTTGATCTGGCAGTCCTACTGAAAAGTGATCTATAAAATTGTACAGATTCAGGCATGGAAAAGACCTAGGTCACTGTAGCTTTTCTTACTACTCTTTATACAACCTCAGGAAAAATTTACCCAGATGCAAAATAAATTTTTTAGTGAAGTATTTGTTGTCATCTACCCCAAAGAAATAATGCATGGAAAATGCTTCTGCCATAAATGATTTGACTACTATATATACTGTTTTCACCATGCCAGAGTTGGTATGACTTAGGAGCTTTCAGTGATCTTGGTTTTAGAAGTTTTTCTCTTTGACTTAAGAATGATCAAGCTAAAAGACATACATTTATTTTAAGGAGACTAATATAATCTGAGAACTGCTGTGCTTTCATTTTTATCTTCTATGGTTGTGTGGTTTATAAGTATTACCCAACAAGCCTGGCTTTTCCTGATGAATGGTTTATTTACAGATTTTACAAAATTATTTTAAAGAAAATTTCCCCAACTCAATTCAGAACGTAAGTAGATTGTGGTGGTTTCTTTTTAAATTTACATTTATCACTGCTTTAAGAAAATATGTTATATATTGAATATGGAAACAACCAAAAAGCTACATTAGAAATGTATGTTATAAAATAGATGTTATAACATGTATTACCATTGGAGTGTTTTAAAACAGTAATTGTGGAGGAATAGTCATAAGACAAAAAATAGAGATTTTTGTTCTTAGTTCCATATCAGATATTCTGTGCAAGCTTGGGTAAAATGTTCCCCCTGTAAAAATTATCACAGTGATTTACCGAGCGTTTACTGTGCACTGAACCTGTACTCGTTACAGAGGAGTTACAGTGGTCAACAAGATCTGTTTGTTTTCTTCCTTTATAGAGGATATGAAGAATATCTTAGTCACTTAATTCTATTGCCTCCCAAAACTTATCCCTGGAAGAATGAGAGAATCAGCTTATTGTCCTGGAGAGTTTGCTGTGATTGTGAGACTTCTGGGAAATCTAAATCCAACTTTAACAATCATGAGTTGACTGCCTCAAAATCATTAAATATATGTATCAATATTTAGTTCTCTTCTTTCAGATAATGCAAAGAATGGAAAGATCATTCTTAATGTCTCTGCTCCAATTAATATGCCTGTGTGAAGGTGCTTTGAAAGAAAGGCAGTATGTTATTAGCACCAGGGAGGAGGTTAGGAGTAGTTCCTGCAACATAAACCTATACTTAACATGCCTGTACAATCAGTGGCCCGATCATACGTAATGCTGCCTTTGGCTAATGTCTGTGAAAGTGCTTTGAAACAATGAAAACCCGTGTAAAAACAAGGGAACAGTTTTATTATCATTGTTAATACTAGAGAGAAGATAGTGAGTTGAGTATAGTTTATGGAATAACCACCTATTTATTATGCTAATACAGATGTTAGACTGTTCCATGGTGACTTTAATTGTTATTTAAAAGCTCAAAGTAATTATATGCATGTTTATTTAATCTATCTTTATACTCTTGTAATAAAGTGGAGGTGGCTTTTGTGCAAAGAGGAAGTACTGCACATCAAGTACACAATAAAAATCCATTTAATCACATATAGTAGCCACCTTTACCTTGTCTTCTCTTTGGACGTTAGGTCTCTTAATACTACTAATCTCCACTCACTAATGCTATTTATTTTTACTAATTAGCAACAGAAATGACTTATTGAAACTCACAAAGGAAATTGTCCAAAATCAAAATTTGAGTCCCTTAGCTTTCTGGCTTATGCATCATTCATTTTGCTTTTATTTCTGTTGTTGTTTACTTAGCATTCCTGTAACCTGATTAGCAAGCTGCTGTAAATTGGTCCATTCACAATCTTTGCATTCTTTAATTAGCTCTGGTGGCTGGTTCATTAACTATCAGATTTGTAGATGTAAAGAATTACATACCTATACAAAATCAATAGTATGCCTCTGATTTCAGTTTGTTAACTGTGTTGTCTGCTTCATTGCTCAGTTGATTTCTCTCTACCTAAAATAAGGTCTGACGTCTCTTCAGGGGAACTGTGCATTGTAAAGCCATCCAAGAGCAGTTTTCTTTACTCTTCAATCTATTCTGTCAGGGTTATATATCAAAGTAATTTTTCTCTAGATCTGCAATACTTCAGATCAATTGCTATATAAACAGGCTCATATTTCTGGGTGTTTTATTTATGCTGGATTAATAAACAATAGCCCAAAACTCTTATTTTCCTACCTCGCTAATGGTTTGTGTTCTCTTTTTTGTTTTATTTCTTCTCTGGTCCTTAACTAGTTATACTTTTATACAGTAAATCTTTATTGTCACAAGGAAGTCATAGGGAGAGGTAGCTCTGAAAACACAGTGCGATGAGAACTATAATGGAGGTATGAATGTTCAAGGTGTTTCATTCAGTAACTTAGCAGATATTTCCTGAAGTTCAGTCACCAATATGTCTTTCTCTCCTTCATTATTCTACGTTTACTTCAGATAGCTTTTCTGCTTTTGAGGCTTTAACTATCCTTTCTATGCTGATGAAACTTATCTTTTTATATTATTGACATATTTGGCTTTATCAATTAGACTATTATTCCCTTTGAGGGTTCCTCTGAAAAATCATGTGCAACATGTCTAAAAAGGGGTTCATTTTCTTGAAAACTAACTTGCTGTGTAACACCTCCATTCTCATACTTCTCCAGGCTTAAAATGTTTGGCTTTTTGGGGGGCCTTCTCCATTTTCTAATGTAATTAAAATTTTTGTTAATTCTGGTTTTTACACTGTATGATTATAATATATTAAATTACATATTAATTTAAACATAGTTTTATGTTCCTACTGATCGCTTGTTAGAATAAAATATCTCAGACCAGATTTGAGGTCCTCCATTCATTAGAATAATCTGTACTTTGAAGGATGGTACCCATCAAGATACATAAATTATTGTGTATAAGAATTTTCATTATATATTAATAGATACTATCTGCATCATATACTTGTCTATTTATGTAGAAATATATTAATATATTTATATATTTATCCATTTATGTGGAACCTCTTCTATCATAAATATTTCTTTGGTGAAACATGATAGTTTTAGTTTGTCCTTCTTGCCCAGGTCCAGAGGCTAGAAGTAGAAGAGAATGAGGAGATGGGGGAATATACAAAGAGCCATATTATAGGTCCTATTTATTTTGCTGTTTCTTTCTTGCTTCCTCTACTCATTTGATTTATTTTTTTAATATTTTAAAATATCTGGAGACTTCCGCCAAGATGGAGGCGTAGGTGGAAATATCTTGCATCTGCGCACAACCAAATCTAAAAACAACAAAATTTTAACAACAATAAACGCAACCAAACCACACAGAAAATCGACAATATGGAGTCTGAAAACAATGAAATGCTCAGCTAAACTGGTAAGAGGGGCAAAGCCAGCAGCGGAGCGGGTTGGCCAAAAAGATCCCCGACAGGGGAGGTGCACAGGCAGCCGAAGGCACGGATCCCAGGTGCGGGCTAGCGATGGGTGGACACAGGGAAGAGGCGCGGCTGGCTGTCTGTGGTCGGTCCAGCATTTGCATGCAGATAAACCAGTGAAGAGGTGAGCATTGAGACCGCATGGCACAGGGCGGCAGGCTCGCACATTTCCACTCAGATAAACAGGTGGGGGAGAGTGGAGAGGACCGCCATTGTACCCTCTCTGACCCCGCCCCCCACATATAGTGTCACAAACCAGCGACCTGGGTGGCCCCGCCCTGGTAAACAACTAAGGCTCCGCTCCTCAGAGGTAACAGGCACAAACAGATAAAAACATGGCTCAAGAACAACTCAGAGCCCCAGAGCCGATAAATCTAAGCGATGAAGAAATAGCCAAACTTTCAGATGCACAGTTCAAAACACTGGTGATCAGGATGCTCAAAGAACTGGTTGATTTTAGTCACAAATTAGAGGAACATATGAAGGCTAAACTAATTGGAATGAATGGTAATGCACAGGAAACCAATAGTAATGGAAAGGAGACTGGGACTCAAATCAAGAGAGTAGATCAGAAGGAAGGAAAAAATGACCAAACAGAAAAGAATGAAGAAACAAGAATTCAAAAAATTGAGGAGAGGGTTAGGAACCTTCAGGACATCTTTAAACGTTCCAACATTCGAATTATAGGGGTACCAGAAGGGGAAGAGGAACAGTTACGAGTGGAAACCTTATTTGAACAAATAATAAAAGAGAACTTCCCCGTCTGGCAAAGGAAATAGACTTCCAGGAAATCCAGGAAGCTCAGAGAGTCCCAAAGAAGTTGGACCCAAGAAGGAACACACCAAGGCACATCATCATTACATTAGCCAAGATTAAAATGAAGGAGAGAATCCTAGAAGCAGCAAGAGATAAGGGGACTGTCACCTACAAAGGAGTCCCATCAGACTGTCAGTGGATTTCTCAAAAGAGACCTTACAGGCAAGAAGGGGCTGGAAAGAGGTATTCCAAGTCATGAAAACCAAAGACCTACAACCAAGATTGCTCTATCCAGCAAAGTTTTCATTTAGGCTGGAAGGACAGATAAAGTGCTTCTCAGATAAGATCAAATTCAAGGAGTTCATCATCACCAAGCCCTTATTATATGAAATGTTAAAGGGACTTACCTAAGAAAAAGAAGATAAAAAAGATGAACAGTGAAAGGACAGCAAACTCACAGTTATTAAGAACCACACCTAAAACAAAAGCAAATTAAGAGGACAGCTAGATCAGGAGCAGAACCATAGAAATGAAGATCACATGCAGGATTAGCAACAGGGGAGTGGGAGAAGGAGAAGCGGGGAGAAGGTACAGAAAATAAGTAGCATAGACAGTAGATAGAAAATAGGGGGAGGGTAAGAATAGTATGGGAAATATAGAATCTAAAGAACTTGAGACACGTGTTCATGAACTAAGGGGGGGAAATGGTGGGGAGGGGTGTGGAGGGTGGAGGGGAACAGAGGGGGGGAATAGAACAAATGTAATGGCATAATCAATAAAAAATAAATATCTTTTCATTCCCATGTTTGTTGATATAATTTTTTAAAAATTCAAAACACTAGATAAGAATACTAGCCCTTAAGCCCTGGTTGATGTGGTTCAGTGGATTGAGTGCCAGCCTTGGAACCAAAGGGTTGCCGGTTCAATTCCTAGTCATGCACACACCTGGGTTGTGGGCCAGGTCCCCAGTAGCAGGTGTGCGAGAATTGATGTGTCTCTCCCTCTCTTTCTCCTTCCCTTCCCCTCTGTCTAAAAATAAATAAATAAAATTTTTTAAAAAAATAAAGAATACCAGGCCTTGAAAGTAGGGGAGATAGCTTTACTGCGGATATGGTTATGACAGTTCTGTTTTTGCTTTTTTCCTGTACTTCACCCTTTTGGCATCACAGAGACTTTTTTTAGTGGTTAGTTTTGTTTTGTTGTCTTTGTTAACTTGTTGGGAAAGGCAATGAGGAGCTGTGCTTTTTATATGTTAGATTGACAGGTCCAGGCTTGCTCAGCATTAAGTGAGAAACTCACAATGGTAAACTCTTGGATGTCTGGCTTCTTTTTAAATTTTTAAATCTGAGGTTCTCATATTCAAAGATTAAAAATCTACTATAATTTTATATCGTACAAGATCAGCAACTTTAAGGCTCTGTACATATCTAACACTCTTCCAGGAGCTCCTTTTGTAAACATAATCTCATTCAATCTTGAGAGGTAGGTCAGACTTCAGTGTTATCACCATTTCTGTTCAGAGATAAGGAACTGAGGGTTACCTCAGGTTCATATATCAGGTTTAGAAGTAAGGAAGAGTTTGTGGACTCGCTTAGGTCACTGGTACCTGGTAAATCTACGCCTAATCTTCAAGCTTTTGATATGTTCTAGACAATCTCTTGCTGCCATATTTGCATAATACATGTCAAGATTTTATAAAGAGAAGATTAACTGAAGATCAAAAGAAGTTAAAATAAATGAATTTGTTGTCTTTTGCTTCCTTAATATTTCTTTATCCCTGTTAAATTTATCTAATTGTACTTCACTATTGAAAATACATTCAAGATTTGATGTTTGATACCTGGTCAGGATGCATGTAGAAGGCGACTGATCAATGTTTCTCCTTTCCTCTCTTTCTCTCTCTCTCTCCCCTCCTCCTCCTCCTCCTCTCTCTCTAAAATCAATAAACATATCCGGGTGAGGATTAAAAAATACAAATACACGCCTGAGCTAGTGGCTCAGTTGGTTGGAGTGTTATTGCTGTACACCCCAAAAGGTTGCGGGTTTGATCCCGGGTTGAAGTGTGTATGGAAGGCAACTGATCGATGTTTCTCATATCAGTGTTTCTCTCTGGCTCTCTCCCCCCTTGTCAGAAGACTGTTGCAAAGCATCCTGGTTCAGTGCCAAGTTCATTAAACTTCAGTGTTGCATAACCTTGCTGCCATGTTATCCTGGGCTTTGTGACTGAATTATATTAAAAAAACAAACTAATGGCAAGAAAAATATTCATTAAGATTGATAGTTAGAACTTGATTTTGGTAATGTCCATGCTTTTTGAGGTGGTTAAAAAAGTTTTATTAAGTATGTAGTATGCATGTTTTAGGAGAAAGTTGTGCTGTTATTTTGGGATATAGCATGTTATTACATATTTGAAGTTGGGTTCTTGTATAATATTAACATTGTCAACCTCATTCATAAGGTAGAACTTGCAGAGACTGAGATATCTATTATTCATATTTAGTTCTCCTTTGTAATACTGTAGAGAGGGAATAAAGGATGGCATTTTATAAAATGGGAAGTTTGTTTTTTCCATTTGTGATACAAGTGCCAGGGTACAGAGAGGAAGAATGGTGGTGCGTCCCGTGAGGTGTCTTTGATGATGATATCCCAGGGCTCGCTGACACCTTGCGGGAACGTAGTTGAGTTAATCCGTGGAAACACACCAGGTGCTTAATGTATGGATTAAAGTAGCAAGATGTGCTTTTCTTTGTTAAAGATTACCTTCATAAACAACATACCGTGTTGGGTAAATGCCAGAGAGGGTCATTTTTGAATTTTTCTGCTTTTGGTTCTAAATAAGCTCATTTACTAGGTTTATGTTTATTAAATAATGAATTTGTTTATTAAAATACAAGAATATCAGATAGAGCTATCAGCTCTGAAGATTTCTGGCACTGGATATGACCTTGTGGAAATTAATTGAAAACACAAATGATTTAACAAATGAGAAAAATGGAAAACATGAGATTAAATGTCTTTATAATGTAATTCTAAATGTTCAAGCAATTTGCTGATGCAGAGCTGTTTCCAGGCATAGTTTAAATATTGCAGATAATCTTTTCACCAGGGAAAAGCCTTCTTGGCTCTTAAGTTTAATAAACAACTCCAAAAATTCTGGTGGTTGTCCGTACTGCTTGTTCTATTTTGTTGCTGTTTCTTCTCACACAGAAATGCAATCTATACTGCCCGGATTCTCTGCCAACCTGGACGGGACTTCGGAGGAAGCCAGCTGTTCTCAGGACGTATCAAGGGTGACACCTTTCCAGATGACTTTTGAGGCAGGTTTTGTTGTGGGTCTATAAATCACTGATGTTTTGATTCTTATTTTTGTATAAATCACCTACGGAAAAAAATGCCTAGGTGAACCACAGTTCCAAGTTAAATGCAATAAAACATTGACTCCCAAACTTTCCTGCACAGATTTTAAATCACCTGGCAAGCTTCCAAAACACTAATATTTGTGTCCCATTCCAAAAGGTTCTGATTTAGTTGGTCTAGGATGTTGGATTAGTCTGCATGAGCTGCCATAAAAAATACCACAGGTCAGGTGGCTTAAACAACAGTAATTTATTTTTTTATATTTTGGAGACTAGAAGTCCAAGATCAAAGTGTCTTGTCACTTTTTTTTCTCACTGTTTCTTTCCTCTGTACATATCTGGAGAGAGCTGTCTGGCATCTCTTCCTCTTCTTGTGAGGGTACCAGCTCTATCAAATTAGGGTCCTACCCTTATGACTTCATTTATACTTCATTGAATCCTTAAGGCCCCACCTCCAAATACAGTCACATGGTGGGCTAGGCTTCAACATGAGAATTTTGAGGGATACAATTCAGTTCATAACAGATGTCACTTGGGCTTTGTAATATTTAAAAAATCTCAATGGTTCCTAATTGGCAGGTATGTTTGAGAACCACTGAAACATGCCATTATTTAAATTTGGATCTCCTGGAAAAGAAAATAAAAATGGATTCCCAGTGCAGATCCTATTTGGATACATTTTTTTATGTTGGTTTACAGATTTTTATTGATTTATTTGTAGCCCAGATTTATGATTGACAGCTGAATTCTACATTTTCTTCAACAGTTATCTGATTCTCTGTCTTTCCTTTCTTTGAGTTGGTAGAGACATAAAGAATTAGAGTACCTTAAACATTCTCCCAAGAAACACTTGGGAGGCCTTCTCCATATTTGAACAATTATATGCTCCTTTAAAAGGAATGGGGACAACAGATATCCCCTGGCTGTGCCTTATCTTATTTAGGGGAACTGAAGGGTAAACAATCTGGAGCAATTAATGGTTAGTCAGCTCTGAAACTATTAATGTGAAAGAGCAATAAAAAAGCTGATACCAGTGAACCAAGGAAAGCAGTTCTAGAAAAGGAGAGCATGTGCCTTAACCAGTCTTAACAAATAATGATAATTCATATACCTAACATTTATGTATTATTTAAGCCTCCTAGAACCTCTATGAAGTGGATAGGACAAGGACTATCACTGTATTTTACAAAAAGGAAAACTGAGATTCAGAATTTGAATGACTTTCTGAAGGTCCTACAAAAGTTAAGTGACAGAATTTGAACCAGTCTTACTTATTAATCAATGAGTAATTAATGGATACTGCCGTTTCAGTAGCCATTCATTTGGAAATTTGTTTTTGTTCCAAGTCGGCTTCACTATACTAGAAGGTACAGAGTTCCAAAACATGTTACTTGATCCCAAGGAACTTGAAATCTAAAGGAAAATGTAGACAATTCTTTTTTTATACTTTTTAAATTTTTTTAAAGAAAAGTTTGTATTCACTCTCCAAGAAAGGCGAGGGGCATGATGTGGAGAGCTACACCAGCCTAGAGGTCTTGATGAGGCTGAAAAACAGTTTTTCTGGGTATAATGGGTTTAGAAATTTGAAAAAATAGAAAGTCGTCAGGGTGTAAAGTTTCTCTTGTTCTGCCCCCCACCTCATTAAAGCAGTCTTTCAGGAGAATCAAAATGAGCATTTAGAACACAGATAATCAAGGTAGCCACTGTTAATGTCTTGGTTAATAGCTTTTCACATAAAGCGGGCCCTTTCAGTGTAAGGTTTCCAGAATTGCACAGTTCAAGCTGTGGCTCTGGAAATAGGTGGACAGAAATGAGTGGAAGTCAAGATCTTTGGATCTGAAGAGGCCAGGGAATTGTGAGACTAAGTTGTTGCTTAGACTAGTCAACTACTTGGATGTGGAAGTCAGTCAAGGTGATGGCAGGACTTGGAGTGAGGTGGAGAGCTTAGTAGCCAGGAGTCAGCTGGTGATGGTTAAAGAAAGTTTGTGAAGGATTAGTGTGACCTCAGAGGAATAAGGATTTTTTTTTAAAATTTTTATGAGGCTCTTTTTATTACTTGAATCTAAAGCCAGGAAAAAACAAAACAAAACCAGTCACTGAGGAAAGATAGGTGTAACCCATGAAAATAAAGACAAGGAATAATATTTGGAATATATAAAGAATCTGTATTAGAAAAATACATTCCAGTAGAAAAGTGGGCAGAAGATGTAACCATAGAATGAGAATGACCAATAAATATGAATTCTCACAGTTAACTAATACATTTTTTAAGTAACTAAAACAAACTATTTCACACTCATTGGCTTGGCTAATTTAATGTTCAATAACCCAAGGGAATAAGGATTTTTGAAAACATTTGTTCCATTATGTCTCATTGTCTCTGGTACTGGGCAGCTACTTAAAAGGTATTTGAATGAAGAGAGTGAGAGGAGAAAAAGATTTTGAGAGATTTCATTATATATACCTCAACTGGGGAGAAGGCTCAAGTAGGAAGACTCATAGCAGATATGTAGGAAAAAGCTATAAGAAATCCTGGCTGGGTAGCTGAGTTAGAGCCATCGTCCTGATAAGCCAAGGTTGCAGATTTGATCCCTGTTCAAGGTACATGTGAGAATCAGCCAATGAATGTAGAAATAAGTGGAACAACAAATCACTCTCTCTCTCCCCCTTTCCCTGCCCCCTTTTCCTCTCTCTCTCTCTCTCAAATCATTTTTTAGAAAAGGTTTTACGTATTTATTTTTAGAGAGAAGGGTAGGGACGGAGAGAGAGGGAGAGAAACATCAATGTGTAGTTGCCTCTCACATGCCCCCCACTGGGGACCTACCCCACAACCGAGGTATGTGCCCTGACTGGGAATTGAACCACGACCCTTTGGTTCACAGGCCCACGTTCAATCCACTCAGCCACACTGGCCAGGACTAAAATTAATTTTTTAAAAAAGCTATAATAAATGATCCACTGCTTTGTGCATGTGAGAAGAGCTAATCTCAGGGAGGATTGAGGAAAGCTTCATTTAGGAGAAAAGCAAGGAGTTTGGGTTATTCTGAGTCAGTCGTGCATCCTTGGGGTCCATTAGGCTGGGTAACATGTCCCTCCAAAAATAATTTGATTTTACAAGATCTTCTTGACATCTTGATTCATTTATTTATTTATTTATTTATTTATTTATTTTTAAAGATTTTATTTATTTATCTTTAGAGGGGAAGGGAAGGAGAGAGGGAGAGAAACATCAATGTATGGTTGCCTTTCATGCGTCCCCTGCTGGGAACTGGCCTGCAGGGAATCGGGCTGCAACCCCGGTATGTGCCCTGACTGGGAATCGAACCGCGATTGTTTGGTTCGCAGGCCCATGCTCAATCCACTGAGCTACACCAGCCAGAGCTCTATATTTATTTTTGCCATAATACTAAATGATAAAATGGGTAGAGATATACATATATGCATATAAACATCTCTCTGAATTGATATCTGTTGATCTCTGTATTTATCTATTATCTATTTAAAGAGACAGACACACTGATTAACTTTCTCCTAGAAAATCGTATAGGGCCCATGACTGCATAAGTTTTTTTTTTTTCAAAGTATAAAACAGTTCCCATATTCTATTGTATAATTAGACTTGTTTCTAAAGGTGAAGGCTGAAACATATTATTCAATAGCAGTTTCTGCTGCCCAGGGCTGGCAGTATCTATTTTTTCCTAACAACACTTGTGTAAATTCACTGCTTCCATAGGTGTGTCAGGTTATGGTACTGGGTTTCAAACACCCAGTTATAAAAGGCTGTAAAAGACACTGCACTCCGTCAGAGTGTGTCTGTCTGTCAGTCTCAATAATTTATGAGTGGATCTTAAAAGAAGCTATTTGCTTTGTGTTAACTACCTTCTACTGCCACGACATTAGGTCTCTTCTCAGGCTGGACTAGGTTCTAGTCCTTGTATTTCTTAGCATCTCTTACATATCTAAATCATGATACCTTTTACATTATTATCAAAGTGATTTATTTGTATTTCTCTTCTACTTGACTGTGAACTCTTCAGATTGAGATTTGTTTTATTTATCTCTGTAGGCCCAGGTACATAATAAGCCACATTAAATGTTACATGAGTGAATAAATACCTATGTTCTGTAGTTATATGTAAGCATTGTCTGTCAGGGTCTGTAAAAAGTAATGACAGGTTATGTAATATCTGACTCAGATAGCTACATGCATAGAAAATGAACATTCTTTGGCGAGGCACCATGCATAGCGCAATGCGGGGTTTGGGCTTGGTCAGACCTGGGTTTGAATCCTAATTCTGCCACTTACCTAGCTGTGTGGGACCTTAGGCAAATTAATTAGCTTATTTGGTTTCATTATCCTCATTGATAAGATGGGGGCATTTCCTTCTTGCGTATAAACTGCTTGTCATGTAGCAGGTGTTCAATAAATGGTCGCTCTCATCATTTTTAATTGTAGCTTCACTCTGGTAGCTACTCAAGGAACTTTCACTTATTTGGTTGTTTTGCTGCTAGATATAATTAGCCCTTTCTGTGATATACCCTATAATCACCAAGGTTACAGAAGTTTGAAACTGTTCCAAGAAGTTGTTTTGGAAGTGTAAGTACAGAAAATGCTTTTAAAAGACCATTGCTTTTCTGTTTGAACACTTTATAATAAAAATTTTTACATGAAGGATGTGACTATAATGTGTGCTGCAGTTACTACTTAATTACCACTATTTATGTATATAAATAATCCTAGATTTCTTTCCAGAATTTTCTAATAATTCTCATTCATTTTTCTAATAATTTTTTCTCATTATCTCCACCCATCACACAGTTGTTGATTGCTTTTTCAGTGTATTTATAAAAAGTATTGAAATTAATTCTTTATTAGATATTTACACATTTCTCTTTATTGTATTATGAGATTTTGAGGTTGGACCATTTTTCTTTCCTTTAATATGTACCCAGTACGTGGCTCTGTATCCTCCGAGTCATCAGTAAGATCTTACTGATTTTTTCCAACTCTGTTTCTTTTTCGCATTCTCTTGGACTTCTCCCTTTTCTAGGACACTTTTTCTGACTTTGGTTTTAGGGACACTATATTAAATATGGGAAAGTGGTTAATACTAAAGCTTTGGAACCAAATTAGGTGTCCTTGGGAAAGTTTTTAACCTCTTTGGGACTCACTTTTTTCATCCAGAATGTGTGAGTGATAGGTACCTAATAGGGTTTTTTCGAGAGGTAATGACGTAATGTAAGGAAGATAGTTTAGCACCATTCCAGTTTCCTGGAATAGAGAAAGCCGGTATTGGATGGTAAGTGTTAATATATTTGTAGGGAGGTGTCAGGGTGTATTGGAAAGAGCAAGGAACATTAGTTTTAAATAGACGTAGGGCCACATTCTGGCTCTGTCACTAAAGAGCTTAGTGGCCTTAGGCAAGTTTCATAACTTCTCTGAGCCTCAGTGTGTTTTTGTTTTCAATTTACAAAGAAGGGAGAGTAGATCCCTGCCTCCAGGATTGCTGTGAGGTAGTGTGCACACAGCACTGCAAGGTGCTTGTGCAAAGCAGGCATTCAGCAAGTGGTGTATTATTGTTTCCATGTGTGTGGCATACACCTTAGATTAATTGTTTGATCTTTAAAATAGTTCTGTGAGGTACAACAGGTAAATTTTATGCCTCTTTTGCTGATTAGGAAATAAGGTCCAGAGCAGTTAAGTGATTTTTTTTTTAAATCACAGATACTTCAGTAATTTTTACAGAGATAATGCTGGAACACGAGTCTTTCAGCTTTTGAGCTTTTTGCTTTACAACTTTTCTGTAAAAATAGATGTTTGGAAGAATCAATTTACATTAAAAAAACTAGGTTTCTTTCAAGTGTCTGCTCTTTTGACTTCATTTATATTTTTTTGAAAAGATTATTTTTCAGAGAGGGGGGAAGGATGGAGAAAGAGAGGGAGAGAAACATCGATGCCGGAGAGATACATCAAGATTGCTTCTCATGTGCTCCCAGAGGGGGACCTGGCCCACAGCCAAGCATGTGTCCTGACGGACAACCTTTTTGGTTCGCAGGCCAGCGCTCAGTCACTCAAGCCACTGAGCCACACCAGCCAGGGCCGTGCATATTCTTAATACAAACTGACCCACATTAGGATGATTGAGTTGAGGTAGCGTTACTCTTCTCAGCTCCAGTGTGAATTACTTTTAAATTACTTTTAAGTTTGTTCCAAAAGGTGGTTTTGAGATTGTAGGTTTTACTCTGATCATTGTTCATGTGTCTCCTGAAGCTCCATGAAATAAGTATTTTAACCAAAGAAACGATGGCTATTAGATTCCCTTTTTTGTCCAATTCTTAGACCCAAAGATGTTTCCCTTCAATGTCCGCAAAGCTTTTTGGGGTGTTACTTTTATAGGAAGAAATACCGTAATTTGATTCGTTTGTACTTTCGGGTTTGTATGTGTGTGGTGGATGTTGTGTTGTGTTGTTACAGGCTGATGAAAAGCCCAGAACTTTGGTGACAGATAGTCTGGTTATAAAGAATTTTTTACGCAAGATTGTCATGGTGCACCCTAAGGTAAGCTGTTCTTTTGCACAATAAAGATCCTCTTATTTAAGTCATGTTTTCAAGAGACCTCTACTCTGTAAAATATGGAATTATCTGGTTAGTTTTCTTGTAATGATACAATTACAACTTCTAATATTGATTGAGTTGATTTGGTTTCTGTGTCCCTAAGACAGTCTTTTTTTTTTAATACTTTTATTTCGTTATTTTTCAAGTACAGTTTTTTGTCTGTTTCTTCCATCCCAGCCCCCCCCATGCTCCCCACCTCCCTCCCATTTCCACCCACCTTAGTTCTCGTCCCTGTGTCCTTCATATTTGTTCCTCCAAATCCCTCCCCCTTTTCCCCCTTAAATTCCCTTCCCTCTCCCCTCTGGTCACTGTCCCCTTGTTCTCTAGGTAGTCTTGATATTGGACTTGTGACATAGTTGGGAGTCCTTGGATATAGAGAGAGCTCTCTTTTGGGTTTTTATTTTCACTTCTTTACTGTTTTATTGTATCACTTTGGGTACCTCTTTTTCCTCCTTTGTGTTTCGTGTTTCTGTTAAACCTGGATGATTAACCTTGTTGATTATCTCCTTTTCTAAAGTGACAGTAAGAGCAAATAAGGAAATTTTGATAAATCACTTTAAACTTTTGAGAGCAAAATTTTTATTATCATCTGTAGTCAGATGTGTTTATAAAGATGCACACACAGCTGAGTGTGCTATGTAGCTTCCCCCTTTTCTTCTCTTGTCGCCTTCCTGCTTCTTTTGTTGTCAGCAGGGTTCAGTGATTGTTTTTTGTCAGTCACAATTCTAAATGTTCTCCATGCACTTACTCCTTCAACCCTCATAATGCCCCTCGTGAAACAGGTTTCACCATCATGCCCATTTTATAGCTGAGGAAACTGTGGTGCATAGGTTAAATAACTTACAGAGGCAGGATCTGAGCACAGGCAGTCTGGCTCTGGAGTCCCCTATAACCCTTTATGCTCCATAGAAAGAAAAATGTAGGTTTAAGGTAGGAAATAGGGAAATAAATTGGAGAGAAGTCAAAAACGTCACATGGGACAGAGAAGAAAAAGCAAAGAAAAAAAACATGGAATGTTCCTTGTAAGATAAACAATGGAAAGAAGAGGGAGAAAAATTGATAGCTCCTTTAAGAAGGGGAAAAAAGTACATTGGGAGAACACCGAAGGACAAAAGGATAGGATTTCCTGATAACGTGTGACTACTTAGAATTTTAGTGTTGGATGGGGTATGTTTAAGATGCTGAATTTGAACACAGGTAAGTGTCATTATGTTTAGGGTTAGTGCAAGTGAAAGAAGGGCGATATAAAGAATATCTCCTCTAGGAATTGGTGTAGAACTTTTTCATCTTTACCCTGGTACATGTTAGGTAAATCTCACACCATTTATTTTGCAGATTAGATTTAATTTCAGTGTAAAGATGAATGGAGTCCTCTCTACAGAAATCTTTGGGTAAGTCCTTAAATCCATGGCTCTACCGCTTTTCTGTCACTACTGTCCTATTTCCAGTAGGTTCAAAGATTGATTTATCGAGCCAAAGTCACCTTGAAACTAATATTCTGAGACCCCTACACTTTAATGAGTAAATAGATGTATCTAGACCTTTTACATCTTTCCCTTTGACTAGAATGGGTAAACTTAAAAATTGTCATTTAGCCTTGGTTAATTGATTACTGAATTTCAGTAATCTCTGGGGGTAGTGATAGTCATATATCAAGATTTGTATCAGGCAGAAATTGCTATTAGAATCTTTAAGATATGGCTTATTTTTCTTTGCTTTGCAGGTCAGAGAATGAACCAACTTTGAACCTGTCGAATGGAATTGCTCTTGTTGTAAACTGTCAGCACTATATGAGGTGAAGCGGGAAGGCAGCGCTACCCCTCGCCGTGTTTTACTCTCCCATTCTGAGTGTGAATGTGGCAGAGGTTGGAAATGGGCTCACTTGTCATTTCTGTCAGATGTCAGCTACTCTGTCGTAAAAGTGAAAGTAAAACTTTTAAGCTATTTGTATTGAAAATTTTTTTATTATTCATGGCTCCTTGAATATATTCTGATGGACCTGAGGATATGTTCTCTCTCCTCTCTATGCCTTATTTTCTTCTGTAAATGAAATAAAACATACCTTGCTAATTCCAGTCCCATTTAGATATGAAAAGAGAGAACTGAATTTTTAAAAGGTTACTTGAATTCTTGGCTAGAGAGAGACTATGAATACAGAGGAATTCTTTGTGCATTAGTTTGTGCATCAGCATTTTGCACAGGTTTGGAAGTCATCTCTCTCCTGACCTCCACCTTCTTCAGATTGAAAAAAAAATCCACGGAGGAGGTGGTACACATTATGGAACAGACAGAACCCTCTGCCTTGTGGTCCTGTGCTACCCAACTACCATAGAATCCAAAGCGAACATGAATTATAGCAAGAAAAAAAAAACTTATGTTTAAGTCCAACTAACTTATTTGTATTCAAGTTTCTGCCTTCACTTACACCCTCTAAAACAGCACTGGCAGTCATAGGCTCTTAAGACTTGAAGAGACTGTTCATGGTTTTTAAGTCTGTTTTCTTACAGGTGTCCAAAATTATGCCTCAAATCAGAATGTTGTTTATTTTTTAATATGTACAGGAAACAAAACCGCCACTCCACATATTTCTTTAGTAATCTTCTAGTACCCTACAGTCCTTATAGGTAGACATCTTGTTACCATAGACTGTGGACACATTTCCCTGGGTGACATTAATTTAGAGAGAGAGAGAGAGTTAAAGGTCTATTAATATTTATTTTGGGTTTAGAAAAGAGTGTGGGAGAGTAAGCAAGTGTTAAAGTTCACTGGATTCATTCTAGGACAGAAAGGTGTCCTAATGTTTTCTCGTTACTCCTATCAAACAGTAACCTCATCTTCTTTCAGGGAAAGGTAGTGTGTGTGCGCGGGGCGGGGGGCAGTCTTCTGATATCATGTGGCCAGTTTTAGGTTATTTGTGATTAAGAACTCCCCTCACTTCCACTTCTGCCATGCTGATATTTGAATGATCTTGGAAACTTCTGCTCAGAACCATTGAATAATTTCAGTGGATGAAATACATATTTGAGACTATAAAACTGCCACTTTTGGTAGTAAAAGCAGGAGCCATGATGCCATTCCTGAAATGCCAGTTTGTCTACTCTGTCTATTGCTTGTAATTCCCTGAGTGGGAATCACAAACTCCAACAAAACTGATATGGCAGGTTATGTGGTTATGTACATGCTAGAGACTATAAAAGAAATCTTGAATGTCTTTTAAAAGAATTTCTTAAGAGGGAAAAAACTAAATTGGTCTTACCTGTTTTTTGACAGTAGACCAACATGTGGTTCAACTCAGTTACTCTGCAGCAGAATCCATCCTGTTCTAGGACATCCAGTGATGCTTTTCATCCCCAGTGGTGTGGCTGGCACGGACTTGTCGGGGGAGTTGGTGCTGACTCCAGCTGCCGCTGTGTGTCCCTGCCCAAAGATCTCTTCCAACCAGCTGAATAGGATTTCTTCAGTTTCCATATCCTTTTCGTGATGGAATCCATATAATTGTCCTTGAAAATGAATTGTCAGGTCCCCATTTAGAAAAGCCTTTGGCATATAAACTCTGTGTCTAGAAGCCAGTATGATTTGTATACAAACAGAAATCAATGTGAAAGCCAAACTTGAGAACTTTTCCAAGAGACCGAAAACTGTAGGATGTGCCACATGTGCCACACTCTTCTCATTTATGGTGCAAGAGGGAGAGATGAGGCTGGAAAAGCTGTTTGGAGTTGTATGTGGTGGGTTTTGAGTGCTACACTAAGGAGTGTAAGCTTTACTCTCTGTATAGTGGGAAACCATGGAATGTTTTGGGAGTTTCTAGCAGCATTGTGCAGGATGGATGGGAGGAAGAAGTCAATAATCACTAAGTATGTAAGTAAGTGAACTAACTGGGCAAGAGATATTGAGTGCCTGAATTAAAAGTGTAATGATTATGGAAAGGAAAGACTGAGAGGAATCAATATAGTGAGGTGATCAATTTGTTGTTGGAGTAGGGAGAGATTAAGTACAGGGAATGACTAACATAGATATCAAGATTTCTATATCCAGAATAAGCATATTTATAGAGAAATTTTTTAAAAAGTGAAATGGCTTATTCTAGGAAAGAGGAAATGGCTTATTCCTTAAAGAGGAAATATACTAGACAACTTTGGTATCTTCTTGGGCCAAAAGCAAGAAAGCTATCAAACACCCATGAGATTATGTCAAAAGGACTTAGAAACTTCCATTTCAAGCTGTGATAGGATAGCAGGAATTGGATTTAACTTCCTACTTTGAACAAGTGAAAGATGGACAAATTATATTAAATGATAGTTTTAATTTATTACACAATGGGTAGTGAGTTTTGTTACACAACAGTAGTGTGGCACATTGGATCTGGAAAGAGACTACACAAAAAAGTGAACTCTATGATTGCCGTACCATACTTTCTAGAGAGAATTTTCAGGCTACAACACAGGGAGGGAATACATCTTGTGAGTCTCTCTTTGAGTTGAGGAGGCAAGGTTTCCAGTTCAGGGAGGTTTTATGGAAATGAGTGCTTGAGAGCAGAGAAATGCATGGACACAGAGAGCTTCAGAGGAGAACCCCTAGAGTGGGCACAGAGCTGGAAATAGTTCATGTTCCTATTAGACGGGAAGGAAAGAAAAACCTCATATTTCACAAGGCATCAACGGTTTGCCTGAGTAGTAGGGAAAAGTTAGCTTTATCCTACAGGCTTCTGTGATCCCACCAAACGAAGCTTAAAAGACCCAGAATGCTCAAACTGTTTTCAACTAATCCCATAGTGTCCCAGGAAAAAAATTCAAGAATATTTACAGGATACAAAATATTCCACACCCAATAAGATAAACTTCACAATGCTGGATATCCAATAAAAAATTAAGTGGCATGCCAGACAATCAGGAAAATAGAATCCAAAAGGAAGGGGGAAAACTTCAATTGATGGAAACCTACCTAGAAATGAAACATGATAGAATTAGTAAATAAGGGCATTAAACCAGGTTTAACTGTATTTTTTATGTTCAAGAGAGAATGATTGACTCTATTAAGTAAAAGACCCAAATTTAACTTCTAGAGATAAAAATTACTACAATTTTAGGTCAGTAATACAGTGTATAAGATTAATTATAGGTTTGTGCATTGCAGAAGAAGAGATAAGTGAACTTTAGCATTAGAAACTATCTAAAATGAGACGGAAAAAAGGACTTTAAGAAAATGAACAGAATGTCTGTGAAATGTAGGATAACTTCAGGCGGCCTAATTCAGGAATGCGTAACTGGAGTCCCGAAGGGAGAGAGGGCAGATAAAATAAGTATCTGAGTAAATAATGTCCCCAGATTTTCCAAATTTGATGAAAACTATAAACCAGCAGATCCAAGAAGATCAACGAACCCTAGGCATAAGAGATAAGATAAAAATTAGGCCCTGGCTGGTGTAGCTCAGTGGATTGAGCGCTGGCTGTGAACCAAAGTGTCGCCAGTTCAATTCCCAGTCAGGGCACGAGCCTGGGTTGCAGGCAAGGTCCCCACTATGGGGTGCACAAGAGGCAACCACACATTGATGTTTCTTTCCCTCTCTCTCTCTCTTTCTCTTTCTTTTCTCTCTCTTTCCCTCTCTCTAAAAATGAATAAAATCTTAGAAATATGATGAAAATTATATAAAGAGATGCCATAATCAAATTGCTCAAAGCCAGTAATAAACAAAATAACAGCATCTGGAATAAAAGGATTCATTTACACATAGAGGAAAAAAGATAAGAATTACAGCAGATTTCTCACCAAAACAGTGTATGCTAGAAGAAAGTGGAGCCACATCTCTAAAGTAATGAAAGAAAACTGTTAACCTGGAATTCTGTACCCAGAGAAAATATTTTTTAAAAATGAAGGCAAAATAAAGAGTTTTTTGATATACAAAAGACAAAAGGCTTCATTATCAGCCTGTATTATAAGAAATGTTAAAGGAAATCCTTCAGACAGAAGGAAAATAATACCAGATGGAATTCTGGGTCCACTCACTGAAGAGGAGCACTTGAAATAGTAACTATCTGGGTATATATAGAAGATTTTGCCCAATTTTTAAAATCTTCTTAGAAAATAATTGTTTAAACAAAAATTACAAAAGCATAGAGGGCTTATGATATACATGGATGTAAAATGTGTGACAATTGTACAAAGGTGAGGGGAGGAAGGGAAGTACATTGTTGAAAGTTTCTCACATCTCTCATGTGTGATATTTGAGTGTGATGTTAGAGTTGTAGATTATAAAGCCTAAAATAATCCCTAAATTAATACTATAAATAGTTATAACAAATAAGCAAAAAAGGAAGATAAGTGGAATTATAAAATATATACAATTAAAACAGAATCCAAAGACTAGAAAAGAGAAAAAGGAAAATAGAATCCTGGGAACAAATAGAAAACAGATAATAAGATGGTATATTTAAACTCAACCATAGCAATAGTCTTATGAAATGTAAATGGTTAATCTGATGTAAAGACAATCACATATTTTGACTCTTTAGATACCCCACTCTTATTTTGAGTTTGATCACCTTGAAGCTCTCCTGGCTCTAAATACAGAATGTGTTGGCCTTAGCTCATGTTCTTGGGTCTTTGATGGACACTTCTTTACGGGCACCGCCAACCTTTGTTCTCTTGTGACTTTCATAACACCCCAGTGCCTCCTGGGTAGGAATTGTAATCTTCACTTGTTAATGCCTTGTGTTTATCATATTTAAAAATGAAAACTAAGAAAAATAAAGAAAAAATAGGATATCTTTGTTTCAGGTAGCAAAAATGTTAGGCAGTGGTTCATAACTGGGTAATTTTGCTTTCAGATGACATTTGGCAGTGTCTGAAGATATTTTAATTGTCATGAATGGAGAGAGGGGTAGAGGCCAGGGATGCTGCTAAACATCCTACAATGCACAGGACAGGACAGCCCTCCCCCTGCCAAACACAACAAAGAATTATTTGGCTTAACATATCAGTAGTGCTGAGGTTGATAAACCTTGGGTTAGAGGGAGGATGAGAATGGAAATGGGAAGTCAAGAGCAAGGAAACCATTTCTGGGGCCTGTCCTCCTTTGTCTTGGTTACAGAGTTAGAGAAGGTGAAAATGAGTTTCCTTTTCAATCAGAACATGCTCAGATACTTACTGGAAAATACTCCTGTGTGTGTGTATATACATACACGTACACACCACAGCACATTGTGTTACAGCTTACTGTTTTTTACATGTGTCTCCCATACTATGTATGTGATAACTTGAAGGTAAGTATTAAATCTAGATACTCATCTTTATGTCCCCAGAACTTAGTACTGTGTTTAATCGGGGGTGCCACTCAAATCTATGATTGAGTAGGATGAATAAATAACTAACTGTACTAATACTATACCTGTGGCTCACGCACATTAAAGCCAGAATAAATTTCTGAGGATTCTAGTGGGTCTGTCTTTGGTACCTGACACCTATCTTCAATGTGTAAAAGGATTAACACATAAGTACCTAGCACACTAGTTTATTTCTGGGAGTGTGAAACAGGTTAATGTTATGTTTGTTTTATGCAAATGAATACATATTCATAAAAAAGCTAAAATTTGGAAGTTTTCTTTAGCACCTGTACGTATTTCTATATGGACCTTCAGGTCTGCCTCTGATATTGCCAAGCCAGGAACAGTCAATTACTACTGTCTTCAAAGATATCTCTTATTTCATTGACTGGAAAAAATACCACTTGTGTATGGTGCCCAACTTGGATCTTGATTTGGATAGAGGTATATCTTTCTCTCTTTGCACAGTAATAAAGAAAACTGGAGACTATCAGAAAAATGCAAGGACATATCAGTAGCAGGTGTGAGTTTGAGAGTCCAGCTGCAGTGAGGCAGATGGTGTCCAGAAGTGCTGCCCCGTCAGATCCTGGCTGTTTTTCCATTACACGTTGATCCTGGGTCTCCCCTCACCCCTCATTTGCCTCTTCTATTTCTGATCCTTCTGAAGTAGCCAGTGGCCTTCATCTTGTAGGGACTTGTTCAGAGGGTTTCTGTTGTACCTTAATCTGTCAACTCTGGGGATTTAGAGAGGTTGGTAAGGGAGCAATTACACTTTTGAACTATTGTGGAAGAGAAATGTTTCCTAATAAGATGAGAAAATCCACATAAAATTACCCACAAAATATTAAAATTAAACCCCCACATAAATATAAGGCAGGAGTATAAACCTTAGTGACAGACTTAGGGACCTGGCCGTAATGTTCGTGTAGAGCCTAGTCAATATCAGTGTGGGGTGAATCATGTTGAAAGACCAGTGCTTAAAAACTGGACTAACAAGTAACACTGTGAAACAGGTATATGCAGCCATGAGCTTCTGTCTAGGAGGTTTACAGTCTTGAGCTTGACTATTGTTAGCTAGAGCCCTTTGAAGTTTGGAAGGTAGTCCGGTCAGTTGGATCCGGAGAAAGGTGACCATCAGGGAAGAGGTTCTGTAGAGCTGCGATTGCTGGAAAAAGGCTGAAGCCTCCTGCGATGGGGCAGGATCTCAGGGGGAACGCTAGAGTCTTTATCCAGGAAGGAAGCCTTGGAGTAAGGCTCTTTCGTCTTAAGTAGGTAGTTATTCCAGAGGGTGGACTGAAAGAGAAAGGGGGGAGTCCTTGGACAGGGTCTCTGGAGGTAAGTGGTTTTGTGAAGGAAGAGTGTTCGGTCTTAACAGGATGTCATGTCATTGGGATTTTTAAATCCCTAGTGCTCTCCACATCTTTTCACTCTCACTTTTATTTTCATTCTTTGTTTGTTTCCTTTATTTTTTTCAATTCACAATGCCTGAACTTTCTCAGTTAACTTTGGAAATGAATAATGTAGAGAATGTCCCCTTATATCACTCCTTACTCTAAAGGACAGACGAGGAACCCAAGGTACATCTCTACATGGATCTGGGTGGAATTTAGGACTATGCTGATTATATTGTAAAGGATCAAGGTACTAGAAAGTGACCACAGGGCATCAGATTACTTGGGAATACAAATATAATTTAATGTGATTAAAAGCGCAGATTTTTGGAGTCAGTCTGGAACCGTTTCACCACTTACTCTCTCATGTTGGGCAATGTATTTAACTTGTCTGTGCCTCTTGTCTGTGAAAGGACTTAAGAATAGGTTCTAGGCCACAGTGTTGTGAAGTCTAAATGCAGATAATTTAATTTAATGTTACATTGCAGGTAGTCAGCATTCCGCACAAGTTAGCTATTACCATTGCTCAGATTTGACTCTGACCTCTGCCTCTTACTGTACTTACCTTAGGAAGTTGTATAAGAAATACATGAATTTATTGTATAATGCTTCCCAGTAAATACTAAGGAGTGCTCTTTGATTTGTATTTTGCACACCGGGCTGTCATTTGGATGTTCTTCCTGTGAATCACTACTATTTTGCTTCCACACTGTGGATAAACAGATTCAGGAGGAGAAGGGAATGTTCAAATTTAGATCAATCTCAGATCCTTCTTTGTTGGAGGTATAGGTTCTTTATTCAGTTAACTGCATTTTGAGAGCTTTACTTATCTCAGTAACTATGTAATATCTTCCCCCCTAGACATGGTGCTTCCAGACATGAGTTATCAGGTGGAATCCAGTGAGGGGCATCAGTCTCAACATGTGGACCCTCGGGGACAAACTCTGCTGCTTATTCTTTTTGTGGATTTCCACAGCGGGTTTCCAGTCCAACAAGTGCAACTCTGGGGTAAGTGTAAGAAATTGGGGCTACCAGCCTGAGTGTCCTTAAGTGTGAAGAGAATAAAGAAAAGGAGACTTTATATGATGTACATATCTGAGTTAGATATATTTCTGCAGAATAATGAATTTCTATTTAGAAAAGCCTTGCTTCAGTAAAATTACATTATATGCCCTGTGGAAAAGATTTGTATCTTGAAGCATCATTTAAATGATGACATTTCCAGATTTGGTTGACCAGAAATCAGCAGACATTTCCTATGATGCTCCCTACAGGGTATATTGCCTTAGATGGGTGGTTTTCACCCTTAGCTGCATAGTAATTACCTGGGGAGCTTTTTAAAAAAGATTTTATTTGTTTATTTTTAGATAGAGAGGGAGAGGAACATTGATGTGTGGTTGCCTCTCATGCTTCTCCTACTCAGGACCTGACTGGCAACCCAGGCATGTGCCCTGACTGGGAATTGAACCAGCCACCCTTTGGTTCACAGGCCAGTGCTCAATTGACTGAGCCACACCAGCCAGGGTGGGAGCTTCTAAAACATGCCCAAACCTTACCCTCAGAGATTTCCCTGGACTGAGGTGGGGCTCAGGTACCAGAATGTTTTTGAAGCTTTTCAGGCTTCAGAACTGTTCACTTCCCTACTGCTTTTCCAGGTGGGATTAAGAAATGTTATGGAGACTTCCACCAAGATGGAGGTGTAGGTGGAAACATTGTGCCTTCTCGCACAACCAAGTTTAAAAACAACAAAGTTTTAGCAACAAAAAACGCAGCCAAACCACAGAAAATTGAACTATATGGAAGTCCGACAACAACTAACCCTTCAGCCAGACCAGTAAAGGGGAAGAGCCAGCAGCAGAGTGGGGTTGGGCAGGAGAGATCCACCAGACAGACCTAGGCGCGCAGGCAGCCGAGGGCGGATCCCAGGTGTGGGGCAGCAATGGGCGGACCCAGAGAAGGTGCAAGGCAGCAGGCTGACCGAAGTCACACATTCATGTGCAGATAAATCAGCGAAGGAGGAGCGAGCAGTGAGACAGACTGAGCAGGCCCCAGCGTCGGGAGGCAGCAGAGGGGACCTCCATTGCTCCCTCTCTGACCCCGCCCCCACATACAGCATCACATACCAGCGACCTCAGCGACCCTGCCCTGGTGAACGCCTAAGGCTCCCCTCCTCATAAGTAACAGGCTTGAACAGACCAAAACATGGCTCAAGAAGAACTCAAGCCAATAACTCTAAGTGACCAAGAAATTGCCAACCTATCAGATGCCCAGTTCAAAACATGGTGATCAGGATGCTCACAGAACTGGTTGATTTTAGTCACAAATTAGAGGAACAAATGAAAGCTAAACTAAGTGAAATGAAGGGAAATGCACAGGAAAACAATAGTGATGGAAAGGAAACTGGGACTCAAATCAAGGCAGTGGACCACAAGGAAGAAAAAAATGACCAAACAGAAAAGAATGAAGAAACGAGAATTCAAAAAAATGAGGAGAGGCCTAGGAACCTCCAGGACATCTCTAAACGCTCCAACATCTGAATTATAGGGGTACCAGAAGGGGAAGAGGAACAGCAAGTGGAAGACTTATTTGAACAAATAATAAAAGAGAACTTTCCCAATCTGGCAAAGGCAATAGACTTCCAAGAAATCCAGGAAGCTCAGAGAGTCCCAGAGAAGTTGGACCCAAGGAGGAACACACCAAGGCACATCATAATTACATTACCCAAGATTAAAATGAAGGAGAGAATCCTAGAAGCAGCAAGAGATAAGAAGACAGTCACCTACAAAGGAGTTCCTGTAAGACCGTCCGCTGATTTCTCAAAAGAGACCTTACAGGCAAGAAGCGGCTGGAAAGAAGTATTCCAAGTCATGAAATCCAAAGACCTACATCTAAGATTGCTCTATCCAGCAAAGCTTTCATTTAGAATGGAAGGGCAGATAAAGTGCTTCTCAGATAAGGTCAAATTCAAGGAGTTCATCATCTCCAAGCCCTTATTATATGAAATGTTAAAGAGACTTATCTAAGAAAAAGAAAATAAAAAAATGAACAATGAAAGGACAGCCAACTCACACACCTAAAACAAAAGCAAACTAAGAGGACAGCTAGATCAGGAGTGGAACCATAGAAATGAAGATCACATGGAGGGTTAGCAACAGGGGAGTGGGAGGAGGAGAAGGGGGGAGAAGGTACAGAGAATAAGTAGCATAGACAGTAGGTAGAAAATAGATAGGGGGGAGGGCAAGAATAGTAGGGGAAATGTAGAATCGAAAGAACTTGAGACACATGGTCATAAACTAAAGGTGGGGGAGGAGTGTGCAGGGTGGAGGGGAATGAAGGGGGGGAAGCGGGACAGCTATGGCATAATCAATAAAATATATTTTATTTCTTTTCTTTTATTATTATTTATTTTTAGAGGGGAAGGGAAGGAGAGAGGGAGAGAAACATCAATGTATGGTTGCCCTTTGCGCATCCCCTGCTGGGAACTGGCCTGCAGGGAACCGGCCTGCAACCCAGGCATGTGCCCTGACTGGGAATCGAACCGTGATCATGTGGTTCGAAGGCCCGAGCTCAATCCACTGAGCTACACCAGCCAGGGCTAATAAAATATATTTAAAAAAAAAGAAATGTTATGGAGTTTTTTTTAGGCCTTGCTGCAGCTTTTCAGACATGATGTGAGAAGCTGTGTGAGTGCACTGGTGTGAATGGCTTTATGTGATTGCCACAGGGACCCCTGAGAAGGGAGAATTTGTCCCTTAGCATACAAGGGCAGGCCTTGGGCATTCATCTAACAGATGGGTGATAACCTGTTATCAGAAAGGTTCTCTTTGTTAGAGGTAAAGCAGTGATTTTTCTGGTTTGTGGTCCGTGAAATATATGCATCACAGTCACCTGGAATATTTGAAAATGTGCAGCTTCCTGGGCCAAAGATTAACTCATTATTTTGCTATTGTGTAAAAATCTGGTATGGCTCAAGTATTTTTCCTTTTTTTTACTTTAAAAAAATATTTTATTAATTAATATATTTTATTGACTATGCCATTATAGTTGTCCCACTTCCCCCCTTCATTCCCCTCCACCCTGCACACCCCTCCCCCACCTTTAGTTTATGACCATGTGTCTCAAGTTCTTTCGATTCTACATTTCCCCTACTATTCTTGCCCTCCCCCCCATCTATTTTCTACCTACTGTCTATGCTACTTATTCTCTGTACCTTCTCCCCCCTTCTCCTCCTCCCACTCCCCTGTTGCTAACCCTCCATGTGATCTTCATTTCTATGGTTCCACTCCTGATCTAGCTATCCTCTTAGTTTGCTTTTGTTTTAGGTGTGTGAGTTGGCTGTCCTTTCATTGTTCATTTTTTTATTTTCTTTTTCTTAGATAAGTCTCTTTAACATTTCATATAATAAGGGCTTGGAGATGATGAACTCCTTGAATTTGACCTTATCTGAGAAGCACTTTATCTGCCCTTCCATTCTAAATGAAAGCTTTGCTGGATAGAGCAATCTTAGATGTAGGTCTTTGGATTTCATGACTTGGAATACTTCTTTCCAGCCGCTTCTTGCCTGTAAGGTCTCTTTTGAGAAATCAGCGGACGGTCTTACAGGAACTCCTTTGTAGGTGACTGTCTTCTTATCTCTTGCTGCTTCTAGGATTCTCTCCTTCATTTTAATCTTGGGTAATGTAATTATGATGTGCCTTGGTGTGTTCCTCCTTGGGTCCAACTTCTCTGGGACTCTCTGAGCTTCCTGGATTTCTTGGAAGTCTATTGCCTTTGCCAGATTGGGAAAGTTCTCTTTTATTATTTGTTCAAATAAGTCTTCCACTTGCTGTTCCTCTTCCCCTTCTGGTACCCCTATAATTCAGATGTTGGAGCGTTTAGAGATGTCCTGAAGGTTCCTAGGCCTCTCCTCATTTTTTTGAATTCTCGTTTCTTCATTCTTTTCTGTTTGGTCATTTTTTTTCTTCCTTGTGGTCCACTGCCTTGATTTGAGTCCCAGTTTCCTTTCCATCACTATTGTTTTCCTGTGCATTTCCCTTCATTTCACTTAGTTTAGCTTTCATTTGTTCCTCTAATTTGTGACTAAAATCAACCAGTTCTGTGAGCATCCTGATCACCATGTTTTGAACTGGGCATCTGATAGGTTGGCTATCTCCTGGTTGCTCAGAAATATTGGCTCTGGGGCTTTGAGCTATTCCTCTTGAGCCATAATGTCTTAGTCTGTTTGAGTCTATTACTTATGAGGGGCGGAGCCCTAGGTGTTCACCAGGGCGGGGCGACCCAGTTGCTGAATTGTCACGCTGTATGTGGGGGCGGGGTCAGGAAGGGGCAATGGTGCTTGTTCCAGGCTCTCTCTCCGATTTCAGTCCCTTCTGCTGGTTCCCGCAAGCAGATTGGGCCCTTCTGGTGCTGGTTCCCAGGTGTGTGGGCTTGTGCACCCTCCAGTAGTGGGTCTCTCCAATGAACTCTCTGTGAGCCTGGGAACCTCTCCCAGCACCTTGACCCCCGAAAGTTTTTTCAATTGGTGCTTTTAGGCTTTAATTCCCATCGCTGGGGCCCTGGTTCGCACAGTCTGTCTCACTGCTCGTTTTTTTGCCTGGTTTATCTGCGGGCGAAAGTGTGACCACAGTCAGCCAGCCACCTTGCACCCTCACTGGGTCCGTCCGTTGCCACCCCACATCTGGGATCTGCCAATTGCCGCCTGTCCACCTGTCCGTCCAGCCACTTTTTCCTGTGGGACCCGCTGACTCTGCCCCTCTTACCGGTCTGGATGAATGGTTCCTTGTTGTTGGAGTTCTGTACAGTTCAATTTTCAGTGTTTTGGTTGCGTTTTTGTTACTAAAACTTTGTTGTCTTTAAACTTGTTTGTGCAAGGAGGCACAATGTTTCTACCTATGCCTCCATCGTCGACGGAAGTCATATTTTGCATTTTTAACAAGATTCTCAGGTGATCCTTAAATATAGTAAAGTTTGAAAACCACTGAATATAAGTGGGGGTTGGCTTACACATTCTAATCCAGTAAATCCTGGACATAAGTTTAAGTGTTGCCCTTCTAAACTTTGAAGGAAGTAACAAGAAGTAGAGCTTATTAACTTCTGGGGAAAGGTTCAGAACCTTTCCTCTGGTGTTCTTGGTATGTTTCTTTGTTCTTTCTCTGTGGGCCGCTTTTGCGTGGGACTCTGCTCTCCGAGCCCCAGTGCTGCTCCATGTGGCCTGCCCATAGGAGGGGTGGGGACTGCCTTCAACCCCAGCTCAGGGGAGTGCATGGTGGCTGGTGCCTACTGTTTGTTGAACGCACCTTGTCAGCGGCGGGGTTCCTCCTGCTGCCTGCCTTCCGTGCCCCTCCCGTATTTCCCCAACATGTATCTGTTCTTTAGGAGATAAGCACTGCTTTCCTGGGCTCCGGCTTGCAGCTCTTTATTTGAAGGGCTGGTGCTCTTGATGCCCCACTCTTCTATTCATTAAGGCCCTGGGACAGGGACACAGATGGGACCTGAACTAAAGAGGCTTCCAGCAAGGGAGTCAAAAGCGAAGATGCCCAGGGTTGTTACCTGGCCTGTGCTTCCCTGGGAGAGGCTGGTAAGAGGAGCAGTTTAGTGTTGTGGAAAGCATTCAGGGTAGAATCAGGAGACCTGAGTTTGATTTTAGTTCTGCAACCAAATTCTTCAATGATTTTTGGAAGTAAGTCACATAAATTACCGGATCCTATCTTTCATATACGGGGTGGGACTAAAGCAGATTTAGAGTTGTGAGTATTTGAAACATGTTTTATTCTCATATTATTACTTATTAATTATTGTATTATTTTCCATATGAATAACTATAAACCTACTTTTGCCCCACCTTGTATTTAACAGCAGATTGTTAGACTGGGTGATATCAAAGGCCCTTCCAAGTCTAAAGACTGTTAAGACTTGAAATCTGTGATCTTTGGGCTTTTTTGTGGTTGAGGTTCACTGACAGGAACACCGCGTTTTGTCTTCTCAGGATGACATAAAGTCTGATACCATGTTCTGAACCCCACTGGATGACATAAAGTCTGATACCATGTTCTGAACCCCATTGGATGACATAAAGTCTGATACCATGTTCTGAACCCCATTGGATGACATAAAGTGTGATACCATGTTCTGAACCCCACTGGACATCCCTAGGAACTCAGATTTCTCGTAAACCAGTGTTACCTGTCATGCCTTGACTGTTTAAACACCTCTGTTTAGCTTGATTCTAAAGGCCTGCAGCATCTCTGGCAGCATTTAATATAGGATTAAGTAAAAATGTATTACTGCATTAATGAAAAAATAGTATCTTTTGCTCTGGCTGGTGTGGCTCAATTGGTTGGAGCATTGTCCTGTGACCAAAAGGTTGTGGATCTGATTCCCAGTCAGGGCACATACTGCTTCTCTTTCACATCAGCGTTTCTCTTCCTCTTCCTCTAAAAGCAATGAAAAAATGTCCTTGGAGGAAGATAAAAAAAAATTTAATAGTATCTTTTAAAATTTCCTTACACATCTGGTAGTTTAGGACTAAGCTTTGAAGATGTACTCTGAGGGTAGGTAGGTGTAGCTATATGGATATCGATACAGTAATTTTTACCTTCTTTCCCCCTCTTCTTGTATCCTTGAAAGCTTCCTCTAGAGCTCCTTTTAGGAAACAGATTGTGCAGAACTACAGTCTGCTCCCATGTGTCTTAAAAAAACCACAAGTTGGCCTTCTGCCCACCTTGTCATGGTAACTTTGCTATGATTAACTCACTATTTTGCCACAGCATTAAAGGCATCTGGTGGTATCTGCAGTTTTAGGAATGAACTTGTAGCTTTGTGATTAAATACCTGCTTTTAAAATGGTTCTAACTGATTTCTTGAGGCTATTCTTAGGCCCAAGCTGTAGAAAATAGTAATCCAGATGATGCCATCCTAGCAATCGCAATATCTTCCCCTTGAATATTGCAGTGTACATTTCAAAATAGTTCATGTATGTTATCCCAGTGTCTCTGTACAAAACACCCATAAGAGCAGGTGATAGCCACTTTTTGTTTCCAAGTGAGAAAAGCGAAGTGCCTTTGTCACCACTAGTTGGTGGTAGAATCGACCCTGGAATCTGTGTTCTGCTTACTCCAGTCCCAGACCCCCTCTGAGCAGACTGCACGTCACCTTTCCTTCCCATGGAGCATCCTGGTGCCTCACGTAGGAAACGTGCCGCCTTGCATTGGAATGCCACCCTGAGAAAAGCCGGCCAGCCGTCGGCCGCTTTGCCATTGTACCTGTGCACAGGCTGCCCAAGGGAGGGTAGAAAAACCCTGAAAAAAGAAAGATTCACCTAGAAGCATTTTCTCCGTGTGCCCGTGGGTGAATTTGTCATCTTGGGTTGCATCAAGATCTCCCTGCTGGCTCTTGTTGATGACATGTTTCACCCATCACTCTCCCACCTTAGCTTTTCTGTATGGTGCTGAGTAGCTTTTCCTTTGGTTACTTTATCAGAGATAGTCTTCCATTTAAAAAGAACTTAAAACAGCAGCCTTCAGAGTCGTGTTTGTGGGTTTCGCCTTTTCCTGTACTACAGCATATGTGGAAGGACAGATGTGCTGTCAGTAGCCAGTAGCAGTGGCCACCACAGCAGGGGGCGCTCAGCTAGGCGTGAGTGCAGCAGGGTAAACGCGCTGCAGGAGGCGCCACCTCTCCTTTGGGAGTCACCAGTGCCCTTCATGATAGTGCGCGGTGTATATTCATATTTCTTTTGAATTGAACAGGACCTTGCATTTGTTTCTTCAAAATTAATGTTGTCTTCACTTTAGTTTTCCTGAGCTTTCTTTCATTTGTAAGTAGGAATTGGGTGAGTTAGTAAGTTGCTGGAGTTTTTTTTCTTCTTTTGTCTTAAAAAAGTAATTCATGGATGGGCAGAAGTAAACCAGCACATGAGCAGCAGCTTTGAAGTGGCCGTGCTCACTCGGGGCTACAATGCTCCCTCTCCCTTTAGGAGTGCACGCTTTGCTCACAGCTCATCTCAGCGCCATCCTCAGGGAGAGCTGCAGCATGGTGCAAGAGTCCATCCAGCTTGCCGTGGACCAGGCCCTGGAGCAGCACCACCAAGCTGCCAAGGTAATAATTCACGATTGTATTTCTCCTACTGTCTGTACGAAGAAGGTAGCTGGACTATATGGCAGACAGGGCCCAAGACCCTGTCCTTCCGAATGCCCCTTCCTTTTCTCTCTTCTCCCCTGAACTGATCTCATACACTGCAGCTGGCTAGGAACTCAAGGTTTAACTTAGATGGGTCACTGTAACCAGTTGCTTACTTTTACCTCCCAGTAGGGGAGTTTGATTAAATAGGAATAAAATAGAGAAAAATGACTCATAAGGCACCTCTTCCTCACCTGTACATCTCCCTTCCCACACATACTTCTGGGGCTACCGCTTTGCTGAATCTTACGTCCTCCTCCATTTCGTAACCCTTACAACACCTTTCTCTTCTTACCTGACTTTCTGAATTCCCTCATCCTGTGTACTTTTGGTAACACATTTCTTACTTCATATGGTCCCCGTTTCAGGAAAAAACCTACACTAAGAGACCAAAGCTTGAAGTTTTTAAAATTGTAAGTGTATCTGTTTTATATTCCAGTGTCTTCTTATCAGTTGTCTTTTCTGAATGGGTCTGTCAGTGAGTCACCCCTATGAAAGGAGAAAACACTTTTTTACTCATTTCAGCCCTGACGTTCCTTTACGTGTCATGATCTCAGTGGCTGTTGTGGATGGAGGGGAAAACACTGTGGAAATCTTGCTCTGACCGAAATCTTTGGTCGCTTTGGGACTCCCTGAGCCTACAGCTTGGGGTTATTATAAACCGCGGTCTCTCCCTTACCTGCGCTGTTGCCCAGGCTCATCAGAAACTACAGACCTCACTCGCAGTGGCTGTGAATTCCATCGTGAGTATCGTGACCGGCAGCACCAGCCGCAGCTTCCGAAAGATCTGCCTTCAGGCCTTTCAGGTTAGTGGACGCTTCAAGTCCTGCAGGTTCAGTGGCCTTCCAGCTTTCTTAGTAATATGTACATTGCTTTGGGGGCTGGGGACAGGACTGAATTAGATCTTACTGTGATCCTGTATAGTACCAGGCCTGTTGAGGGTTTTTAAAATTTTTTTTGTTAATATTTATTTATGTATTTTTAGACAGAGGGAAAGGGAGAAAGAGAGGGAGAGAAACATCAATGTGTGGCTGCCTTCCATGCACCTCCAACTAGGGACCTGCATCAGCAACCCAGGCATGTGCCCTGACTGGGAATAGAACCGGCAACCCTTTGGTTCACAGGCCCGCGCCCATTCCATTGAGCCACACCAGCCAGGGCCAGGCCTGTTGAGTTTTAAGAAATAGTTGGTGAATAGATAGTGGTGTGTATACTATTTTATAAATGAGAAAACAAGTTATTTAAAATTTTGACTTTCTTTAGGTCACACAGCTAGGCATGAGCAGAGCTAAGATTAGATCAGTGATTCCCACTTCCTTATTGAAGAATGTTCTATTGCCTACTGGTGACAGAAATAACTGAGCAGCCCTCAGCCAGTATGGAATGATACGTAGCAAGTTTGGGAGTCAGAGGTTCAAGTTCAAATCTTGGCTTATTTACTTACTAGCTATGTAATGATTTAGGCCTGCCCTTAACTTCCTGAGCTTCATCTGTAAGTTGGAAAACACAGTAGTGCCTTAGAGCATTATTATGAGGGTGAGGGCTAAGCGTGCAAGTGCCTAGCACATGGCAGGTCTCATGAATGTTCGTTTATTTCCTTTCTTTTAGGGATGTGCACTGACCATTCATTGTTATCAGTGGGTTAACACAGTAATCCCATAGCTGTGGTTTCATTTTTTAAACTTTTTTTCTTGGAAAGATAGTGTACACATTTTAAATAATGTATAAACTTTATTGCTCTAATTTCAAATTCCAAAGCTTCAAGTTTTTTTTAATAGTGTCTTGTTGCTTGTAACTTCAGATGTCTTGCTTCTTTTGAGTTATTTCCTAAAATAAATTTCTGTAAGTGGAGCTGCTGGGTCAAAGAATGTAACACCTTTATAATCAAGTGCGTTTTATCGCTGCTTCAGTTTTCTGGGCCATGTGGCCAGTGCAGGGCAGTGGGAAGAACAGCGTATTGGCGGTTCTGTGGTCCCCTGGAGGACTAACCAGCTGTGAGATCTTGGGTTGTTCACTTCTTTTGGGTTTCTGTCTTCTCATCCATAAAGCCAGTATGTTGCATTAGGTAATTATTCTGGTCCCCTTTAACTCTGGTATCCTATAATTTGATACTAAAAAGTAGAGGCTTGCTACCCATTCCTTGAGTGTGCAAACTGTATTATTTTGTTCTTCTTCTCCCTAAAAGACTTTACTGAGGAGAAGTTCTTATATCAGCCTTCATCGTTCAGTGGAACGTCTGCTCTTTAGGAACTTGTTTCAGAGGAGAGCAGTTTGCAGAACCCCACACAAGCAGATGGGTCTCTGGGATATTTGTCTGCTATAGAGAGGAGAACAAAGACCTTTGATAGATCTTGCTTCGGTAACAGGAATTGGAAGAAATGTAGGAGTCACTACTACCAGGTTTCTCAGGCCTTCTTTCCACTCCTCCTGCGCCCACAAGAACGGACAGAAGCCCCTGACAGGACATGAGTGGTGTCAGTGTTTGCCCCTGTTTCGTCTCGTCCTCCCTCACTGTAAACTCCCTGTGGGCACTTCTCCTTTGGTTGCCGGCACTGGAGCTCAGCACATTCTATCTCTGGCCCTTTTTAGGCGGCTGACACACAGGAGCTTGGGACCAAGCTGCACAGATCCTTTCATGAGGTCACTCAGCACCGAGTTCTTCACCACTGCTCATGCGAAGTGAAGCAGGTAATTGTAAAGTAAAACACTTTGTACAGTAAATTGTAAAAGCACTTTGGCGGAAATGTTTCATACTGATGTACGGGAGCCCTGAAGACTCCTGTACGTACACGTGGTGGGGAGGTGCCACGTGGTCTCCATTCAGCCTCTCCGCAGGGAAGCCTGTGGTTTAGAGAATCTTTATAGCACGTAGTATTACACAGAGACAGAAACACTGTTAGATGCTATTTGATTTCTATTTCTGTCACTAGCCAGTTGCGTGGTATTATTATGGAAGCTAGTTAAACCTTTCTTAGCCCTAGTTTCTTTGTCAGTATTCTGAAGCATACCTAAAGTGATTGTGAGATTTGAATAAAATTATATGTATGCAGACTGCTAAGCACATAGCTGTTCTTATAATGGTGATGATGTGATAGAATTTTCGTGTTTAGTTTTGCCTAACCAAGCCCACACTTTTATCTATTCACCTTTTTGGGTGCTGGAGATAGAGAGTTGCACTGGGGTCTCTACCCTCAATAAGGTCAAATAGCTTCATCTGGTTTTGTGATAGGCTCCTCTAATAGTGGAGAGAAGTTGTAGCTGGAAGGTCTGTATCTCAGCTCCAGGCGGAGCTGGCAGTAGTGTTCCCACTCAGGCCCATTTTTCTGACTCTCTCGGCTCTAATCAGTAGGATCGAATTTTCTGGGACTAAAGTATAAGATGTGTAAATAAGAAAGATTAAAGGTGAAATTATTATATGGTGGTTTCTGGCCAAGATGGAGTAACAGGGACCGAATTTACCTTCCTGCCTGAAATAACAAAAATCTGGACACGTCTGAAACAATGGTTCTCAGGATCCTGGGTATCAGATGATGAGTGGTCTAGTCATTCCTCAGAGATGGAAAACAGACGGAGTGAGCCCTGCGATTGCCCTCGCACACTGCCTAGACAAGGGACAGGGGCTATGGAGCAGGGAGGGGGGATCCAGGTGACGTCCAGTGGGTTCTCTGAGTTGAAAAGGTGAAACTGGGAATCCAAGGATGCCAGCTGGAGTTCTCAGGGCAGAGAACAGAGAGAATTCTGGAGATCTGCAGAGGCTCCCTCCTCTGGTATTCGGGTGAGTGCTGATCGGCTCATTCATGTGAAGAAACTCTCTGGGTAAAGAACCATCCAGAAGGATTAGAGGGGAAAATATGAAGAGCTTACACAGAGAGGAAAGGCAAAACTATGGAGACAGTAGAAAGATCTTTAGCTGCCAGGGGTCGGAGGGGAAGGAGGAATGAATAGGTGGAGCACAGAGGACTTTCAGGGCATCAGAGGTGTTCTGTGTGGTACTGTAATGGTGCACACATGTCCTTAAACATCTGTCCAAACTCATAAAATGTGTAACACCAAGGCTGAGCCCTAAGGTCAGCTATGAACTTCGGGTGATGATGTGTCAGTGTAGGTTCATCACTTGGAGTAAATGTGCCGTTCTGGTTGGGGGGGTGTTGATCGCGGGAAAGGCTGTGTGTGCGTTGGGGGAGCAGGTATGTGGGAAATCTCTGTACCTGCTGCTCAATTCGCTATGAACTTAAAACTGCTCTAAAAAATTGTCTATTAAAAAATAAAATAAGGGGACTTCCGGCCAAGATCGAGGCATAGGTAGACACACTGTACCTCCTCACACAAACGAAAGAAGGATGACAACAAATTTAAAAACAAAAAACAATCAGAAGTGACAGAAAATTAAACTGTATGGAAGTCCAACACCAAGGAGTTAAAGAAACAGTCACCTAGACCAGTAGGTGGGGCGGAGATGGGAGACAGGACTCAGTGAGGTGGCTGATTGCAGACCGGGCAGTCCCACATTCACGTATGAATAGACTGGAGGAACAACTGGGAAGCAAGACAGACCACACAACCCGAGGCTTCAGTGCAGGGAAATAAGGCCTCAAACCTCTGACTGAAAACACCTGTGGGGGTTGCGGCAGCAGCAGGAGAACTCGCAGCCTCACAGGAGAGTTAGTTGGAGAGACTTACAGGGTCCCAGAACTTACACAAACCCACCCACCCAGGAATCAGCACCAGAAGGGCCCAGTTTGCTTGTGGGTAGCGGGGGAGTGACTGAAAAACAGCAGAGAGCGGAGAGAGCAACACTGTTCCCTTTTGGACCCTCCCCCACATGCAGCGTCACAACACAGTGGTGTGGGTTGGCTGCCTTGGTGACTACCTAAGGCTCTGCCCCTTATTACATAACAGGTGCGCTGAGACAAAAACAATGGCCCAAACGAAAGAACAGATCAAAGCTCCAAGAAAATATAACTAAGCAACAAAGAGATAGCTAACCTATCAGTTGCACAGTTCAAAACACTGGTAATCAGGATGCTCATAAAATTGGTTGAATATGGTCGCAAATTAGGTGAAAAAATGAAGGCTATGCTAAGTGAAATAAAGGAAAATGTACAGGGAACCAACAGTGATGGGAAGGAAACCAGGACTCAAATCAACAGTGTGGACCAGGAGGAAGAAAAAACATTCAACTAGAACAGAATAAAGAAACAAGAATTTAAAAAAATGAAGAGAGGCTTAGGAACTCCCAGGACATTTTGAAACGTTCTAACATCCGAGTCATAGGGGTGCCAGAAGGAGAAGAGGAAAAGCAACAAATTGAAAACTTATTTGAACAAATAATGAAGGAGAACTCCCCCAATCTGGCAAAGGAAATAGACTTCCAGGAAGACCAGGAAGCTCAGAGTCCCAAAGAAGTTGGACCCAAGCAGGAACACACGATGGCACATCATAATTACATTACCCAAGATTAAAGATAAGGAAAGAATCTTAAAAGCAACAAGAGAAAAGGAGACAGTTACCTACAAAGGAGTTCCTGTAAGACTGTCAGCTGATTTAAAAAAAAACACACAACTTTGCAGGCAAGAAGGGGCTGGAAAGAAGTATTCCAAGTCATGAAAGGCAAGGACCTACATCCAAGATTGCTCTATCCAGCAAAGCTTTCATTTAGAATGGAAGGGCAGATAAAGTGCTTCCCAGATAAAGTCAAATTAAAGGAGTTCATCATCACCAAGCCCTTATTATATGAAATGTTAAAGGGACTTACCTAAGAAAAAGAAGATAACAAATAGGAACAGTAAAATGACAACAAACGCACAGTTATTAACAACCACATCTAAAACAAAAGCAAACTAAGCAAACAACTAGAACAGGAACAGAATCACAGAAATGGAGATCACCTGGAGGGTTATCAGCAGGGGAGTGGGAGGAAGAGAGAGAGGGGGAAAAGGTACAGAGAATAACATTAAGTAACATAGATGGTAGGTAGACAAGGGGAGGTGAAGAATAGTGTAGGAAATGGAGAGGCCAAAGAATTTACATGCATGACCCATGGACATGAACTAAAGTGGGGGAATGTGGATGGGAGGGAGTGTGCAGGGTGGAGGGGAATAAAGGGGGAAATGGAGCAACTGTAATAGCATAATCAATAAAATGTATTTAAAAATAATAATAAATAAAATAAGGCAGAAAAAAAGATGAAAAAGAAGAAAAGGGAACAAAGGACAAATGAGACATAAAAAATGATGAGCAGCCCTGGCTGGTATAGCTCAGTGGATTGAGCGTGGGCCTGCAAACCAAACAGCCATGGTTCGATTCCTGGTCAGGGCACATTCCTGGGTTGCAGGCCAGTTTCCAGCAGGGGACGCACGAGAGGCAACCATACATTGACATTTCTCTCCCTTTCTCCTTCCCTTCCCCTCTAAAGATAAATAAGTAAAATCCTTTTAAAAATCACAAAAAGAAAAAGATTTATTTTAAAAAACAGTGAGCAAGATAATATATTTAAATCCAGCCATATCAATGATCATATTAAATGTAAAGAGTCTAAACAATCCAACTAAAGGCAGAAATCGTTATGCTGAAAAAAGAAGAGCCAACTCTGTGCTGCCTGCTGGAATCCCTCTGTAACTATAGACACAATAGATGAAAAGTAGACGGACAGGAAGGGTGTTCTGTGCTTACACTGAAGAGACGAAGAGAAGCAGCACTGGCCGGGCTGTAACTGCAGGCAAAGTGGCTTTCAGAGCAGAGAGTGTTGCCGGGGGCGTGAGGGTCATTGTAAGACGACGGCACACGTATGGTGAGTAAAACGCAGTGGAGATAGTAGCCCTGCACATTCATGAAACTTTAGAGAAGCTCTCAGACACATGAAGCAGAGCTAATGGAACCGGAAGGAGAGACAGATAAATCCACAGTTGTGTTCGGAGATTTCAACATAGCCCTCGATAACTGATACAAGGAGGCAGAAAATTAGTGTGTCTATAGTTTTGAGTTGATATTATGAATTAACTTGACCTGATATTTATAAAGCATTCTACCCAACCACGGCAAGCATATGTCTATTTTTTAACTGCACAAAGGACACTTAGCAAAGCAGACCATATTCTGATCCAGTAAATCTATTTCTAAATTTTTAAGAATCCAAGTCATATAAAATATCTGTTGAACACAGTAGAGTTAAAATCAGTAACAAAAAGACACTTAGAAAATTCCAGATATTTGGAAGCTAAATGACACATTATCCATGGGTAAAACATAAAATCAAAAAGGAAATTAGATAATACTTCAGTTTCATTAAAATAAACATGCAAATTAAAATGCGTGAGATGGAGCTAATGCAGCACTTAGAGTGGAAAATATCTATGTTAGAAATGAAAAAGGTCTCAAATCGATTACCTCAGCTTCCAACTTAAACTAGGACAAGAAGAGGAAATTAAACACGAGTTAAATGAAATAAAGATCTGAGTGGAAGTCAGTAAAAATAGAAAACAGAGAAATGACAGAAAAATCAATGAAACTTAAAGGTTGTTCACTGAGAAGATTGGTAAACACTGAGCCAGACTAGTCAGAGTAAAAAGAGGGAAGGCACAAATTGTCACTACCAGAACTTAGGGAAGGGGCATGAGAGGTTAAAAGTATTATCAGGGAGCATTATGAACAGCATTACTGATGTAAATTTGGTAACTTAGATTACATGGACAAATCCCTTGAAAGATAAATTACCAAAGTTCACTCAGGAAGGAATAGCTCTACGAACCTGGTCGAGTTGTGTCTATTAAAGAAATTACTGCATATAAATATTCAAAATGTTTACAAACTCTAAAAACTCAGTAAGAAAACAACACAAATTTTAAATGGGCAAAAGATTTGAACACATATTTCACAAAAGAAGAGACAAAAACAGTAACTAAACATATAAGAAAGGTGCTCATCATCATTGGTCATTAAGCAAAATGCAAATTAAACCCACAGGAAGATACTACCTCACACCTGCTTGGAGTAAAAAAAGCCCGCTGCGTGGGTGTCAGCCAGGGTGTGGGGGAACCGGAACTCGTGTACTCTCTTTGCAGGAAGGAAGATGGTGCAGGCTCTCTGGAGAGCTGTTTGGCGGTTTCTTAAAAAGTTCAGTGTACATTCATTATACAGCCCAGCCATTCTCCTAGGTTTTTGCCCAAGAGAAATGAAAGCATATGTCGACACAAAACTTTTACACTAATGTTCATGGCATTGCTGCCAATATTTGTAACAGTCAAAACCTGGAAACGACCCAGAATCAACAGGTAAATGGGTAGACAAATGTGGTGTATCCATTCAGGGGACTACTGCTCAGCAGTGAAGAAAAGGACTCTTGAAACACAAAATAGCATGGATTGATCTCTACGTAGCCATACTGAATTTTTTAAAAACCTGGAAATACAGGAGTACATACTGTGATTACATTTATGCAAAGTTTTATAAAATGCCAACTAAGCAATAGTTACAGAGCAGGGGTTGCTGGAAGGTGTTGGCGGGGCTGTTTTTAAGGGCAGAGGAAACTGCTGAGGGAGATGGTATGTTCACTATCTTGATTGTGGTGAAGGTTTCACGAGTATGTACATTTGTCAAAACATCAAATTATACATCTTATATACATGTGGTTTATTGTATATGTGCAAGTCACATCTCAAATTTGTTATAAAAATTATAGGCACTGTTTCTAAGAGAATAGCAGGACCATTAGCACTTCTGTTCTCTCCCTCTCCTACTGCTGTTTGCCTGATTGGAGGGGGAAGTGGAAGTGCCCAGGCTCACAAGGGTCACAGCATCTCACCTACTTCCCACCCTCTGCTCTGTAACTAGGATGCAGAAGACAGCAGGGGAAGCCCTGGAAATGCTCCCCGCTACCTTTTTCCAGGGCTGTGTGAATGCTCTCACTGGTTTCTGTCCAACTTGGAAAGCTGCTGCCCACAACTTGAGCAAATAAAAACAAATGCCCAATGTGTCAGTTTCCTTTGGATGCTGTAACAAAGTGCCATCAATTTGGGGGCTTAAAAACAACAGAAATTTATTGTCTCAGTTCTGGACTCCAGAGGTCTGAAATCGGGGTGTTGACCAGGCTGCTTTGGGGGTGGAGAACGCCTCTTCATCTCATTTCTGTGGGCTCCAGATGCTCCAGTCCTCTGCCTCTTCACATGCCCTTTCCCCCTCGTCTCTCAAATTCACCTCCACTTTTCTCTGCAGTAAAGACACCTGTGGTAGGACTTAGGGCCCACTCTGAACTCACGACGGTCTTATCTTGAGGTTCTTAATTCCATTTGCAAAGACCTCTTCTCTAAATAAGGTCATGTTCACAGGCTCTGGGAGTTAAGACTTAGAGATACCTCTTGGTGAGTCCACTATTCACCATACCTATCCACGTCTTCAAATTTCTAGAGGTAGGTTGAGGCTAAGGTGTGTGCTCTTACCATAGGACCTGGGATCTGTGGGCAGGGTCTAGAAGTGTTTCAGGCTGTGATGCCCTTTCGTTTGGGACTCTCTGACATCCTAGTGAGATCTCAAAAGGAAATGATCTGACTGATTTTTTTGCCCCGTTCTGTTGCTATAGGGATGACTCAGCCTTAGGGCTATTCATAGCCCAATTTACTTGGCAGTTGCCTAATAATGTAAGGGTCACTAATTTGTGCCAAGACTTCCACGTTAATCTCCACAAAGATCCTGTGAGGTAGGTTGTAGTTTTTCAATTCTATGGATGAAGAAACTGGATAGAGAACTTTTCTGATTTGCCCAGAATCAGTCAGTAAATGGCAAAGCTAGGATTTGTACTGAGGTCTCCTGGCTCTGAAGCCCAGTAACACTGTTACCTCGGAGGACTGGGTCACAAGCCCAGGGAAGGTGAGTAATCAGAGGCACTGAGTAAAACCCATGCTTCTCCACTCAAGATCATTACCAGTTTCCCTCTGACAATAGCCATTTAGTGATAATTTGTTAGTGGCACAAGAGTGTCACCCAGTGGCTTCAGCTGGGAATTACAAGATCAGTGATAAATTATTAAATTCTTTTACCTCTGGACCAACCAGTCCCTCAGTTGTCATCTCTAAATAGGTGAAGTAGAACAGCTGGCCTCGGGAATAACATGGAATAACATCATCTATGGCTACTAATAGCTTATGGAGAATGGAAGAGATGAGAGAAATGGAAGAACGTGTTTTAGAGTTTTATAGAATATATGCAGGGAAAGGTTGTGGCTGGGTGTGGGAACAGTGGACAGTGGGCCATGAAGCAGTAGACAAGGTAGTACTCCAGGGTTTCTTGTCACAGACGTAAGTATGGACTGGAAAATTAAACCCAGAAGTGGGAGCAATAACAAGGGGGCAGCTTTCTAAGGAAAAACATTGTTCTCCCTGGGGTGGCGGTGGAGGGGAGACCAGAACTGAATGTCCTCATGGAGTGTTAATCCAAGGAGGTGTATCCTCAGGATGCGTAGTCTGTCTCATTCCGGGGCGTGATGATGAAGGCTGCGCCAGGCTCTCCTGGGGCTCAAAGCTTTCTCTCTGAATGTGGGTGTTTCTTTGGTGAGCCCAGTATCAGATAGGAGGTTTGGCTGCTACATGACATTTTCCAGGCTAGAGTAAAGTAAAAGGATAAGCTTTCTCTCAAAGAAGAAAAAAGGTGTTTGGAGATTTTCTGAATACTTTTTCTTTCTTCACTCCTTTAGGGCCATCTTTCTACCCCTTCTATGTATTGTTTTAGTAAACAATATATGGTAGAATATCTACTTTTATTCAGTTATAAGTCATGCACCACAAAACTTACCATTTTAAATTGTGCAATTTAGTGGTTTTAAGTATATTTACTCTAAATTCAAGAACATCTCCATCATACCAAAAAGAACCCCTGTACCTAATTTGCAGTCAGTCCCAACTCTACCTCCCACTCCCTGGCAACCAGGAATCTACTTTCCATCTCTATGGATTTGCCAGAGATGGGTATTTTATATATGTGGAATCATACAGGAAGTGGCCTTTTGTGTCTGGCTTCTTTCACTTAGCATAATGTTTTCAAGGTTCATCCATAACACGTAACAGCACTTCATTCCTTGTTATGGTTCGATAATATTTCATTGTATGCTGTATATACAGTAGTCATATATACACAGGGGAAATATTCCGAAACTTCTAGTGGATGCCCGAAACCAGGAATAGCACCGGACCCTATACATATTTGTCCCCATGCTTGCATACCTTTTCACTTAAATGAATTAACCTATTTACTTAAGTAAAATAAGGGTTACTTGAACACAAGCACTGTGATACGACAGTGAACCTAATAACCTAGGCTGCTACTAAGTGACTAAGAAGCTGCTAGCGGATACAGTGCGGATACGCCAAACGAAGGGATGATTCATGTCCTGAGTGGGATGGAGCGGGACAGTCTGAGACTTAATCACACTACTCAGAGTGGGGTACAATTTAAAAGTTGTGAATTGCTTACTTCCAAAATTTTCCATGAATATTTTTGGACCATGGGTAGCTGAAACCATGTAAAGGGAAACCAAGGATAAGTACTACATTTAATTTCTCCATTCATCAGTAGATGGACGTGTGTTGTTTGCACTTTTTGGCTATTATGCATAATGCTATGAACTTTTGTGTGTGGGCAGGTCTGTAATTCTCTTGGGTATATATCTAGGGGTAGAATTGCTGGATTGGTCACATGGTAACTGTAGTTAGCTTGTTGAGGAACTTCCAAACTGTTTTCCAAACTGGTTGGACCATTTTACTTTCTCACCAGTACTGTGCAAATGTTAGTTTTCCTATGCCCTCACCAACACTCATTTTTGTCTGTGATTGTTGCTGTCACAGCAGGTGGTAAGTGGTGTCTAGTAGTGGTTTTGGTTTGCGTTTCTCTAATAACATTGATCATCTTTCATGTGCATATTGGGCATTTGTGTCTCCTGGGAGAAATGTCTATTTAACTCCAATTTGTCGACCCAATTTTAATTGGATTACTTGTTATTTTATTGTTGAGTTATAAGAGTTCTTCATTCTGGATATAAGTTCTTATCACATCTGATTTGCAAGTGCTTTTCCCTGTTGTGTTGACTTTGCGCTTTTTTTTATAGTGTTCTTTGAAGCACAAAAGTTTTTAACATTGATGAAGGGGATATCTATTTTTATACACCTGTATTCTTGAACACAAGGAGCTAGGAGGACTGGGTTCTGATCTTAGTACCTTTGTTTCTCTGTCCAAGTGGAACCAGAACTTTGAAAGGCTAGTGAGGACCACACAATGGGCCCTGTGGTCAGTCATTTGCTGAGTGTTTACCCCACGCAAGGAACTCACTAGATGTAAACAGATGTAGGCATGATGTGCCTTCCCTTTCAAGGAGTCTATGATAAGAGCAAAATGGACATCCAAAGAGGCAGGCAGTGCATGCCCAGAGCCTGAGGAATTCGGCAGACAGTGACCAGGGCTCAGAGAGGGAAGGATGTGCTGGAGTGAGCTGCAGAGCTCTAGCAGAAGTTAGTCCTGAAGGTAGGTAGCTGCGCAGAAAGATTCAAATGAGCCAGGAAGAAGGGAGTCGGGAGGCAGGCATGGGTGGACAGCCCCGAGAGGTGAGCAAAGCCACCAGGCACATTCATGTCACTGGGACTCATTAGTGCTTCTGCAGAACTAACTTAGGACATCTGATTTTTTAAGCAACTGCTCCCAGAGAAAAATGACACAGAGGACAGAACAAAGAATGCGCACGAGGACAGCAGCTGGGAGCTCCTCGTAGGTAAGGTTTCAGCTTTTCAGGTGAGCTCTGGATCGAAGCTGGGAAGTAAAAAACAACCATGACTTCAAGGTTTTCATACTGCACCTTTCACCACAGCACAGTCCTTCTGGAATGTAGTTGGCTGTCCTTGTCACTGCCGGTGTTCTGGGGCAGCAGGAGGTGTTGCCCCTCAAAAACTGGTGTTATAGGACTAGAAATCTCTCCTAGTCTGTGCAGTTATGGGTGGATGTGCATGCTGGGAGTGGGACCCTGAATACAATTTGTTCCTTCCTGTCTTTTCTTGTGTTGGCACCACAGCTCTCCCTAATCTGGGTGAGCTGTGGTGGCTCTGGAGGCTGCTTCTGGAGGTTGTTCCGGGGTGCAGACATCACCTCAATCTTGATGTGTTATGAGGAGGTGTCAGCGTGTGTTGGGTGCTGGTGATTGATTATACTGAAATCTTTCCTCGCCCTACCCCCAATACTTAAACAGCATCCGGGCCAGCAGTGGCAAGGCGGTGGTCTAGTGCGCATGGCTGGAAATGACCACAGCCACTGGTGCCGAAAACTGCGTGGTGCAGGTGCCAGGCATTATTCTGAACCTTTAAAACTGTATTAATGCTCTTAATTCTCAAAATGACAGTATGAGATATAGGTACTATTATTTCCTCATTTTACAGATGAGGAAACTGAGGCCCATAGATGTCAAACTTACTCGAGGTCACACAGCTAGTAAATGGCAGAGCCAGAATCCAAACCCAGGCAGCCTGGCTCCAGACGTCTCTAAAAGGGCTAGACTAGCGGGGGGTGCGCCGTGGGACGAAACAGTGCTTTAGATTCGAGAATCAGTTAATAGAAAGGCACCTGTAGGCCCTGCTCCATGTGGCGTGAGCAGCAATGGAAGAGGCTAAGCCGCTTTCGGGCGGGGGATCCGAGCTTCGCAGGGAGGAACCGGCACCAAATGGGTGCGCGCCCCAAGTGAGGGCTTGGTACGATCCCGGCTGCCCCTTCCCGGGGTTTAGCTGAGGTGGGATGGAGAGACCCTGATGCCATTCTGCAGCCCAGCTTGAACCTTGTCGGCCTTTGGTCTGGACGGGAGAGCCGACACAGCCGGGTTCTGAGGGTTCTGAGGTGGGAGAGCCAACACAGCCGGGCCCCAGCTCCTCCTGCCTTCCATGTTTCCCCCAGGGTCTTTTCTAGCACCGGGACGCGGGACGAGTACGCCTGTTTTCTCCTAGGGGCCAGCGGACAAGCAGAAAACAAGAGGCTCAGGAAGGGCAGCCTCCGCCAGGTCGTGGAGGGAACGCGGGCTTTCCCCCTTGTCAGCGGCCCGAGGCCGTCGGAGGCTGTCCTGCGCAGCGCAGAGCCCCCCGTGGCCTCCCTGACTCCTGTCGGAAGCAGGGCGGGCCCCGGAGGCGGCCCGGAGGTGACCAGGCGAGGCCTGGGCAGGGGAGGGCAGGGACCCGGCCGTTGCCGAGGCGTCCTCATCCCGCGCCCCCTTTCCTCCTGCAGGACGCGCTCTGGCTGCAGGAGGTCTCCAACCTTTCGGAATGGCTGAATCCCAGCACCTGAGCCGAGCCCTCTCCCCAGGCGTCCAAACCAGCCTGGCAGAGGTTGAGGCCACGTGTAGTCTGTTGTTCAATAAACGAGGTCCGAGCGCGCCGGGTCTGTTTCAGTGTGCTGGGCGGGGCCGGCCCCCTCCTGCGGCGCCGCCGGATGACGTCACCAGGGCGTCCCGCGGGCGAGGGCGGAGAGGCAGCACGATTGCGTCACTGGTGCGCGCCGCGTGTCCGGGCGCGATGGCGGCGCTGGGCGGGGACGGGTTGCGTCTGCTGTCGGTGTCGCGACCGGAGCGGCAGCCCGAGACGGCGGCTCTGGGAGGTCCAGGCCCCGGGCTGTGCTGCTGGGTGTCGGTGTTCTCCTGTCTCAGCCTCGCTTGCTCCTACGTGGGTAGCCTCTATGTCTGGAAGAGCGAGCTGCCCAGGTGCGGGGGCTGCGCGCGCGGCCGGAACCTGCGCTTCCAGCAGGCGGGGCTGCGGGCGGAGCGCGGGCTAGCCAAGGGCTGGGCCGAGCTGTCAGGAGGGGACTGTGGGCCCCCTGAACTTAATACCCCCTCCTTAGGGACCACCCTGCCGTCATCAAGCGGCGCTTCACCAGTGTCCTGGTGGTGTCCAGTCTGTCGCCCCTCTGCGTGCTACTCTGGAGGGAACTCACAGGCATCCAGGTGCGAAGACGTCGGGGCAGAGGGCAACAGGGGAGAGATCTCAGGGGTCTTTGGCGGAGGGAACAAGACTGATGCCCCCTTTTCTGTGGCTCAGCCAGGCACATCCCTGCTCACCCTCATGGGCTTCAGGCTGGAGGGCTTTTTCCCAGCAGCACTGCTGCCCCTGCTGCTGACCATGGTGAGTCTTCCTCTACCTTTCACCTCTGCTTTGTTACTGGTACGGCGCTCCTCTCTGTGCCCTTTTTTTTCTTATCCTGATTGAGTCCAGTTCCTGCCTAATGACAGGCAGAATTTGAGAGGTGGCTCGAGGCCCTCGGGTGTGCATGGGTGGGAAGTCCTGGCTGACAGCGGGAAGCTTGAGGCTTTGTCTGGGCAAAGGCATTGAATTATAGTTTAGGCCTTTCATTTGATTGCTCTGGTTGTGTCTCCAGATCCTTTTTTTGGGCCCGTTGATGCAGCTGTCGATGGACTGCTCCTGTGACCTGGCAGATGGGTTGAAGGTTGTCTTAGGTGAGTTCTCAGGGTTGAGGATAAAAAGCAAGTAGGCAGTCTAGGACAAGGAGTCAGGATAGGACTTGAACATGAGGTATGAGGCATTTTGTGTTGTATTTATTAGTAAGATGGGACCATATGACAGGTGTCCTCTTAAGAGCTGGCTCCTGATGTTCAAGGAACGCCTAGGGCCCCTAGGAGTGTGTGGACTAGAGAGCATTTCCCCTGCTTCCCTGAACCCTTGGCTTCTCCAAGCTGGAGCTGGTCTTGGGCAGATTTGATGTTTCCAGATACCCTGCCTCAACTACTAATGCTTTCCTGTTCAATCTTCTTGAGGCTTTATTTTATGCCAATAAACAAAGCTGGACCCGTAACTTGTTCTGAGTATGAAAGTCTAACCTGAGTTTGGACAGGAAAAGGTTGTGGGAGGGACCCCTGGGGTCTCTGTTCAGTAGCTAGTTGCTCACAGCTTGTCTTGAATCCCCTCCCTAGCCCCTCGCTCCTGGGCCCGCTGCCTCACGGACATGCGCTGGCTTCGGAACCAAGTGATTGCGCCCCTGACAGAAGAGCTGGTGTTCCGGGCCTGCATGTTGCCCATGTTAGCGCCATGTACAGGCCTGGGCCCCGCCGTGTTCACCTGCCCACTCTTCTTCGGAGTTGGTGAGTCTGTCCAGCTTGGTCCTGCTGAGATGTTCCTAACACGAGGGCTGAGCATGGGGCTTGGGGCAAGGGTGGGCTGGGAGCAATGTGACTTGCGTCTTACTTTCTCCTTAGCCCATTTTCACCACATTTTTGAGCAGCTTCGATTCCGCCAGAGCAGTGTGGGGAGCATCTTCTTGTCCGCAGGTGAGTCCTAGAGCGCATGCCTGGGGCAATCTGGGTTGGGGTGTATAGAGGTGTCTCTAAAAGCCACTCCAGAGGAAGAGCTGGGAAAGGGGGCTGTAGCATTGAAAGGGCTGCTGACCAGGGGGAGTTGGGTGTAGAGGACAGCCATAGGTGCTCAGCCACTGCCCCCAGAGGGAAGGGGGTGTCTCTGGCTGATAAGTGTCTAGTGCTGGGACAGGAAGGGCATGCAGGTGTGGTCACTCGTGGCCTCCCCATCTCCAGCGTTCCAGTTCTCCTACACAGCTGTCTTCGGTGCCTACACTGCTTTCCTCTTCATCCGCACAGGTTGGTTCTCATTCTCTCACGGGTGCCGAGGGCTCAGGGTCCCACAGGAGTGGGTGGGAGAATGGGAGAACTGTTTGTTCCAGGAGCAACAAAATTTTAACTGTAGTCCTATAGACAGGCTGAGCCAGAGCCCTCAGCCTGGTGAGGTCTGAGAGGTGGAAGGAAACAAAGAGGCCATGGTGTGTGGGTAGGTGGGCAGGTGGGGTGTTGATCTCCTGTTCCAGGAGATGAGGGTCATTAGCCCCAGCAGGGCCAGAGGAAGTGGTGGGGCTGCTCCACGAGCTGCTCTGTCTCCCCTCCCCAGGACACCTGATTGGGCCAGTTCTCTGCCACTCCTTCTGCAACTACATGGGCTTTCCTGCCGTCTGTGCAGCCCTGGAGCATCCACAGAGGCGGCCTCTGCTGGCAGGCTATGCCCTGGGTGTAGGACTCTTCCTGCTTCTGCTCCAGCCCCTTACGGACCCCAAGCTCTACGGCAGTCTTCCCCTTTGTGTGCTTCTAGAGCGGGCAGGGGACTCAGAGGCCCCGCTGTGCTCCTGACCAACGCTCTTGTACACACTCCTATGAACTCTCACGGGCTCCTCAGCCCCTCCCCATCAAGGGGTCCTGCAGGGGAGGAGCTGGCTGGGATCCCGAGATCTCAGGAATTTTTGTAGGGGACTGAAGCCAGAGCTAGTTGAATCCCAGGGACCATGAGAAAGGAGCAGAAAGGTGCGGCCCCTCTCAAACGAGGGGGCGAGGAGCAGGCCCCAGGAGCCGCGCACTCCCTTCCTCACTGTGGACTGCTGCTTCTCTGAGCTCCTCTGCCCCAGAAAAGCTGCTGGGGGTAGAATTTACAGATCTCCGCCCCCCAACTTCCCAGGGTTTTCTCATTGTCTTTTTGCATCAGGACTTTGTATTGGGATATTAAAGAGATTTAACTTGGGTAACATGGCCTTGAACCTTTGGGCATTAGACTATTTGGGGTCTTGGTAGTGAGCCCGGTAGAACAGTGCCCTGCAGTAGGGTCAGGATGGGGGTCTGGCTGCCCTGGGTCTTGTAGCTCCCTTCTTCCTGAGCCAGACCCACGTCCTAGCCCAGGTGGACCTAGGACTGCAGGTGCCAGGTGTGGGCCCAACTCAACTGGGGACTGTGACCACCTACCAGGGTCAGGAATTAGAGCCCAGGGGTCTGACCCCTGTGATAGAGCCTCCAACTTGTGTCCCCTGAGAGTGGGGAGGATTCCACTACAGGGCCTCCACCAGGACCTCCCAGTGTCTACCAGCCTTATGGTCCATAAGAGGAAATTGATCCAAAATGGTAGAAGGACTAGTTCAGAGTCACCTGGGGGTAGAGGCTTTTCTGGCTCGCTCCACCTTGGACCTCTGCCACCGTGTGCTGCTTGTCTGGTCCCCAGAGGAACAAAGGCTGTGGCCCTGCTGAGCAGCACTGTACCTCTGGGTTCTTAGAACCTGCTGCTGTTCTCAGCTCTTCTTGTTTAGAATGGTTTTCAGGCCCCATTCCAAACTCAAAGTGGGTGTTCTGAGTCCCATTGCCTGAGGACTCAGGAAGGAAATGGGTGTGCAGTCACTCCCCGTGGTGCCCCAGGTGGGCAGTGACTAAACTGCATTCATCTGGATCTGAAAGGGCATCCTGACAGTCACACACCTACCTTGCCAGAAAGTTCTGTACAGCAGCTGTTGGGGAGGCAGAGAAGGTGAGCATGTGCCTGTTCAAAGGGTCTTTGGAATCTTGGGAGTCCAGAGTGGCGGTGGCCCACGCCAAAGGTTAAGTTGTGGTACCCTGAGTGCATGGGCTGGCGGGGCGCTGGGATGGTCCCCTGGGGGTCCTGGGCTCTGCCACACTCCTTCCTCATGTCTGTGCTCAGGAACTGAGCACAGACCACCTCACTCACTCGCTCCACCTCACTGGCCCACTCACTCACTCACTGGCCCACCACCTCACTCGCTCCCCTCCCCTCCACAGTGATGCAGGCAGGGTGGCCATCTCATCCTGCAGGGGAGAGAACTGGAACTCAGAACTCTTTCTCCTCAGAACAAGTTGTGGGGGGATGGGCAGGGTTAGACCCTAGGACTCTCAGTCCAGTGCGAACCTCCCACCAAAGCCCTCCCTCCCAAAGGTTCCTGAGGGTCTTGCCCAGAACTAGTGCCTGTTTGCATCCAGTCCTGAAAGAATGGGTAGGAGGTTGGCCCAGGGTTTAGAAAGTAAAGCAGTGTGTTGGGAAGCAAGTCCACTGACCACCTAGGTTTGGACCCTTTCTGCCTCTTACTAGCTGTGGGGTCCTGGGCAAGTTATTTAACCTTCCTGTGGCTCCATCTGTCTCTAAAGTGGAGGAAGGTTGATTTCTTGCATTAATAGGTGTTAAGTATTTAGCACAGCCCCACTTACCCCACTCACTGCACCACCCAGCTCAGTAACAACTAGCTAATCCTATTTGGGGTGTGTATACAGTAGATACTCCTAGTAGCTTAAATCAAGGCCACTACTGTTATCCTTACCACCTCCAAGAAGGAAGATTGAACTGGCCCAAGGAGTCAGGGGCAGCTCTGCCCCTCTGAGTGGCATGGGGGTGGGTTGCAAAGGACCCACTGTGAAGTGCAGGAGAAAGTCAGTTTTATTGAACAAAAGGTCTCAGGACTGGGGGCTTAGGTTTACTGCCCCACCCCCCCACCCCAGAGGTAGGATCCCCCAAAACCTGCTCTGGATCCGAGGCCCACCTGTGCCACCCCCTGTAGTCTGCAGCAAGGATAGGACCCTCATTTGGCAAGAGGTGAATATGTGAGCTACTGTCCACCAGCAGGGAAAGGACAGATGGCTGGAGAGGGGGCAAGGCCACTGCAAGCACTGTCTGCTGCCATGAACGGCTGGGGACAGGAGCTCCAGGGTCAGGCCTTCCTGCCCTCAGGGCACTGGCTGGCTGGGGCCGGCCCTGGCAGCACAGCGCTGGAGAAGGCTGGGGGTGGGGATGGCCGGGCTGCGAGCCAGGCACATCACTCAATCTCCAGGATGAGGTCATCACCCTCCAGGGTCATGTCTCCAGTTACGTGGACCTTTCGGACGGTGCCCTCTATGGGCGAGGTCACCACAGTCTCCATCTTCATGGCGCTGAGCACACACAGGGGCTGGCCTTTGGCCACCTTGTCCCCTGCTGCCACCTTGATGTCTATCACCTTCCCAGGCATGGGTGCCCCGATCTGGCCCTTCACATCCTTCAGGGCCTTGGGGTGGAAGTGCATCTCCTGCAGATGGCAGAGGGGATGTGAGACACCAGGCCCCGCTTGTCCCCACCACCTAGCTGGGATGGGGAGCTGTACCTTCATGGCCTGATTGTCCTTGACCAGAATGGACCGCAGCTGTCCATTGAGCTCGAAGAAGACCTGCCTCTGGCCTGCCCAGTTCAGGTCACTCACGGCCAGGGCTTTGATGTGCAGCGTCTTGCCCCGCTCCAGCTCCACCTGCAGGAAGGACGTGGAAGCTCACAGCAAGTGCGGAGACATCTGCTGTCTTACACAGTCCCAGGCGAGTCCCTCCACCCTGGGTCTCGGCTCCCTACTCATAAAGGCCTAGATTCCTGGTCTCCCAAGGGTACTTTGTGCACCCGTGGCTCTGGAGGCCGTGACAGCCAAGCCAGTCTGGCACTCCAGATGTGCTGTGGTCCTTAGGGGTGGGGGCAGGGTTCCTTGGTGGGAGTGTACACAGGTGCCAGAGCCACTGACCTCGAACTCCTCTGCAATTTTGGGACCCTGCAGGAAGAGGCGGGTATTGAGGCTGTCCACAGGGCCAAAGGTGGCAGTGAAATCCTTGAAGTTAGTGAAGACATCAGGGTACATGGCTGCTGAGAGCACGTCCTCTGGGGTCACGTCCTCCCCATGCCGCTCTGTCAGCTCTTTCTCCAGCACCTGCAGGTCCAGGGGAGGGAGGGAGGCTCCAGGCCGCCCCTCTATCCTTGGCAGGTCCTTTAACACCTGGGGAGCACAGCAGAGGGTCAGGCCTCATTCTTGCACCCAATCTCACCTCGCATTGGGCTGGGCCTCCTTTACCTTGGAGCGCAGGGGCTCAGGGAATCCCCCGTGGGGAATGCCGATGTAGCCCTGCAGGAACTCCACCACGGAGCGGGGGAAGGACAGCTCTTCTGCCTGGGCCTCGGCCTCTGCCCGGCTCAGCCTGTTCTGCACCATGAACTGGGCCAGGTCCCCCACGATCTTGGAGGAGGGTGTCACCTGAGGAGACGGGCCCTTGGGTTAGGGTGCCAGGCACCTTACAGAGGCCCAGAAGCATAGGTAAGGACAAGGTTTGGCTCACCTTGATGAGGTCGCCTAGCATCTGATTGGCCTCCACATAGGCCTTCTTGACTTCCTTGAACTTGGAGCCGAGCCCCATGCTGTGTGCCTGGAAGTGCAGGTTGGTGTACTGGCCCCCTGGGATCTCGTTCTCATACACGTCTGAGTTGCCAGACTTCATGGTGGCCGTGCAGTCAAAGGCTGCATACAGTCCCCGGGCCCCCTCCCAGTACTCACTGTAGTCAAACACGCACTCCAGGGGGATCCCTGCAGGGAGGCCAGAGGCAGGGGAGAGGCTGAAAATGCTGAACTCCCAGCTGCCCTTCCGAGGACCCCAGGGCCAGCTCAGCTCCCACCTCAGACGGGGGTGGTGTAGTGGAAGGCAAGGCAAGAGCATTTAGAGTCTAGCACTGGTGGGGGCTGTGGCTTTGAGAGGGGGGTGGCCACGGGCTGCTGCTGCTCCTACCTGTGTCCATGGGAGTCCCTCGGGTACAGGCCACCAGGGCCCCCATGCTGGGCTGTGAAGTCATCCCGGACATGGAATCAGATGCCACATCCACCACGTCAGCCCCAGCCTGAGCACAGGCCAGCATGGCTGCCACACCTGCCCCTGACGTGTCGTGGGTGTGGATGTGCAGTGGGAGGTCAGGGAAGCGGTCCCGGAGGGAGCTGACCAGCATGGTGCAGGCCGCTGGCTTCAGCAGCCCCGCCATATCCTGGGGAAAGAGGGGAAGAGGAGAAAAGATGGTAAGGAGGGGGCACATTTGTGTGTGGTGGGGAAGATGGGGGGAACATAGGGAGGCAGGGGAGGTGGGAAAGTGGGGGCACTGCTGGAGGGGGGCTAGGTCCAGGTACCTTGATACACAAGATGTGGGTGCCAGCTCGAACCAGCTCTTCGGCCAAGTCCATGTAGTACTGCAGCGAGTACTTGGTGCGGGTGGGGTCGGCCACATCCCCCGTGTACGAGATGGCAGCCTCTACCACCCCACCAGCACTGCCCACTGCCTCCATGCCCAGTAGCAAATTGGGCAGGTAGTTGAGGGAGTCGAACACCCGGAAGACATCCATGCCATTCTCCTTGGCCACCTCACAGAACCTGAGTGGGTAGGAGAGCCCAGGGTTAGCCACAGCCCACTCACCCCACACACCTTCTCTGGCCCCTGGCACACCTATGGCCCCTGAGGAATGAGTCTGGGGGTCAGGCCTGGCTGGGGCCATGGTATCCACAGAGCAGGGGTGGGTACCACAGTGTGGACGAGGCCTCCTCCACGCAGTCTGGGCTGGACAGGGCTGCCCTGAGCCATCTGGCACAGAGCAGAGCTGCCCACACTGGTTGTGCCCCCAGACAGAAGGAGTAGTAGCTGGAGATCCTCTGCTCTGCGAAGGAATGGCAGGCTGAGGGAGGGAACATGGAGCAGGGAGTTCTGAGGCTAGGTTCCAGCCCCCTTCTACACCATGTGGCCTGGGCCCAGTCACCCCCTTCTTAGGACCTCCACTGTCCCATGACCTAGTTCTTCGACTAATCCTGCGCTTCATGACCTTCCCAAATAGCAGCCCGTACTGGGCACAGCTGCTGGCTGGCGTGGTTTGGAGCCTCCTGTGGGAGCAGAGGCTGCTGCAGGGCAGCCCAGCTCCCGCGGGGCCGGGCC